ATAATATTTTTATAGCCTTTAAAATAGCTTTTACTTACTTTTATATTAATAATAATAATAATAACTTATATAATACTTATAAGTAAATATTAAAAATTAAAAGCATAAGGATTAATTTATTTAATTTAATAATATTATTAATAACTCTTATAGCTATTTATAAAATAGTATTATTATTTATATTATTATATAATTTAATATATAAGATTTTATATGCTTATTTAAAGGCTTAATAATATTTCTTAACTTTCTTAATAAATTAATATACCTTTATAAAGATTTATTTATATTTAATTTTTATTATTTATATCTTTAAAATAAAATTTTAAGGATGTAAAGTTTATTCCTGCATTATATTTAATAATATTTAATAGTTCTTAATATATATTAATTTAAAATATTTATAATATTTATTATATAATCTTTATAAATATAAATTTTAAGAATTTCACTCCTTAAAAAGCAATAGCTTAATTCATAATATAAAGAATTAAGTATTTACTTAAATATATTATATTAATTAAGATTTTATAATTAAATTTATAATTATTGTATAACGTAAACTTAAAATACTTAAGTATAAGTTTATTTATTTAATAATAATAATATATCTTCTTAATTTATATTATTACTTATTTATTAATATTTAAATTATTAACCTTTTTAAGCATTTAGCATAATTAATTTATTAATAAGTATTTAAAGTAATAATAAAGTTTCCTTATTTTTATTTTTAAGAGGAAATATATAGCATTAATAATTTAATTTAGGAAAAATTATAAATAACCTTATTTTTTAAGTATTAATATAATAATTATATTATTAAAGGAAATTATTTTATTTATAATATTATTATAATATACTTAAAGCTTATTTATATTTATTAAGTAAAGTAAAAATAAAGTTTATGCTTAAATAATATAAAAGTTAATATAATTAATTAAGGTAAAAACTTTTATTATGCTAAGTAAATTAATAATTATTTCATTATTAAATTTAACTTTAGCTTTTCTTATAATAATTATATTAATTTAATACTTTAAATCTTCTTATTATAATATAAGAAATTGCTTATATTTAGCCATAAATATTAATAATGCTTTTATATTTAATAAAATTCCTTAAAAATAAGTTTAATTATATTTATTCTTTAAAATAAATTAGCTAATTATAATAATTATTTCTATTTAAAAGATATTATTTTTAATAATTTAATATATAAATGCTTTATTAACTAGGAAATTAATATTTATATAATAAACCTCCTTATTAGGTTTTACTTTTATAATATAAGTATCGCTATTATAATTATTATTTTAATTTTATTTATCTTTATATTTATAAAATTTATCTTTATTATTTATTTTATATTTCTTAAACTTGCTTAGAAAAGTATTAAAATTATTATTATAACCTTTATATTTATGTTATATTAAGTAGCTTTTTCTTGTTAAATATTATTTATTAATTAAATATTTAATTAATTAATATTCTTTCTTTTTATAAATATAATATCTTTTCTTTTAAAGTTATTCTTTTCCTTTTTCTTTATAAGCATTATTACTTTAAGCTTTATAACTAATGCTATAGGATCTTAATTACTTAAAGTTTAAATAGCTTAAGTTTAATTAGCTAAATCTTTAATTTCCTTAAAATGCTTAAAATTACAATTATTATTCTTTTTTTAACTTTTAATTATTATACTTATAATTAATATAATATTAATTTAGGATTTTATTTATAATATAAATTATAATTATATAGTTAAGTTATATTTTTATTGTAAATCTTAGATTTAAAAATAATTCTTTATATAATTAAGTTAGCTTAAAAAAAGCTATTTTTAGCTTAAGAACTTCTTTATAAGCTTTAATTATTGTTATTTTTAAGTTATTCTTTTTAACATAATTTAGCTTAATATTTATTAATAAAGTTATAGCTTATTAAATATTAAATATAAAACCTTATATAAGTTTTTATTTAAATTTTATGCTTTTATTTTTATAAATATTATTATTATTTAATTTATATAATAATATTAATAATTAAGGTTTATATTAAAATGCATTTTAATTTTAAGATATGTTATTATAAATATATTAATTTAATTTATAAAATAAAGGTAATAAGCCTTAGCTTAATCTTTAAGTATTTAAAGAAAAACTATATAAAATTAACTTAGCTAAATTTTAATATAATAATAAATATTAAAAAATATCTTTATTTTATTATTTAATAAATTATATAAATTTTTAATATATTTATAAAAGTTATTAAAGGTTTTTATAAATTATATTAATTTTATTAAATTTAAGCGCTTATTAGGAATATATTATAAGGAAAGAATTTTATATAGGTTATACTTTTTATTTAATAAAGGTATTTTTAAGGCAGCCTAAGGTTATGTTAAGTATGATATATATCTTTAATATAAGCTTTATTTTTATTTCTTTGCTAATAATAATAAGCCTTGCTAATTATATTAGTTTTTAATAAATTGCATTATTAAGTTTAGGTTTTATAATTATGCGCTTAAAGCTAGCGGTAATAATAAAAGTTATCTTAAGAATTATTTTTTTTAGCGATTATTATTATTTAAAGCTTGCTTATAATACTTATAAGAGCTATATTTATAATTATTATTTTTAAAGTTATATATAATATTTATTTATATTTAATTTTAAGGTTAATAAAGTATTATAAAGCTTATTATTAATTTATTTTAATCTTTCCTTAGCTTAAGTTATAATAATTAATTATAATGCTATAAGTTAATTATTACGTTTTATATTAATGCCTTGTATTTAAAGGAAAACTTTTAAATATTATTAATAAGGATTTAATAATGCTTTAAATATTGCTTATATTTATATTATATAATTCTTATAATAAGTAATAAAAAGGTTATTATTATAAAGGTTTTATTATATATAGCTTGCTAAAGTATTTATTAAATAAGTAATTAAATATTTTATTAATGCTTTTTATATAAAGGTTATAAATTATAATTTTAAGTTAATATATTTATAATAAGCTAAGTTAATTAAAGTTTAAGCAAGTATTTTATTAATTATATATTTTTTAATAAAAGTTAATAGCTTTTTAGCATTATTAATTATGCTTATAAGTTTTTATAATAAATATTATAAGGAGTAAAATTAATAAAATAAAGAAATATTAATAAAATAAATAATATTTAAAAGTAAGTTAATAATAATAATTTAATAATAAATAAGTTATAATTATTAAAAGGAAAAAGTTATTAATTCCTTTAAGCCTTAAAAGCTAAGGCTTTTTTTTATTATTAAGTCCTTTTATATTAATTAAAAGTATAATATATAACTTATGCTTACTTATAATATAGTATTGCATTAACTTTAGCAATTATAATAATTATAAGCTTTATTTATTTAATAGTTATAATAATTATAAGCTTTATTTATTAATAAAATAAAGCTTTATTAAGTTTTGCTAGGTTTTAAAAAAGATTTAAAAATAAGTTTGTTTTTAATAAAGTTTTATATAAAATAAATATATTTTTTTTAAATAGTAATAAATATATATATAAATATTATAAGGAATGCTATTTAATTTATTTAATCTTTATAATATTTACTTAGGGAGTTTAATAATATAAAAAGGCTTAAAGAAGTAGTTATTATTATATAATGCTTATTAATAAGGAAAATATAATTTTTAAGTTAGGGAAATTCTTATAGGGTTGCCTTTTTTACCTTATTAATTTATAATACTTATAATTATTAATTAATATTAATAAGTTTCTTATATGTATAATAATTATATAGGAAGTAATTATGTATTAGTGTTGTTCTATTTAAGTTTTAAGAGGCTACGTGCCCCGGAGGGGATAACTAAAGTAGCCTTCCAAGTGCGAGGGTCGTACTTGCCAACAGACAGTCTGGGTTCTAGCTCAAGCCGCTGTGACATGAGATTGTTTGTCCAATTCGACACCTTCCATTAGGTTTGATTCAGCCGCGTCTATCATGCCACATTCAGCGCCTGCTTTTAAATTGGTTGTTGAGAAGTCACTTGGGGCTCAAATGAGCATGACATTCGAATAGAGATAGAACTGGGTCATTACACCAAAACCGCTTCAGCCTTGCATATAGACTAAGCCCATCTCGTATTTAGGTAGGTGGAGTTTACAACCGCCGGTATAATGCACCTCAACTGATCAGAGCTTGGGCCAATAAGACCCAGTAAAGGACTGGTACCAGACTACCTTGTGATGTATTCCTGCAACAGAACCTTGATCATGGGTGTTTTATCAGCATGATGATATTCATATGAGAAAGACAAGACACGTTTACCACTCTCTACTCATATTACCTTAATTTGTGCCCTGTGTTGTTTACCCTGGGGTATTGTTTTCACAAACAGATTAAAGCACACAATCTTAGATAAAAAATAATTGATGATGATAATATCGGGCTGATGAGTGACAAGAGACCAGCGGCAGTAGAGACCACGGCTGGCACATCAGGCATTGAAATCGCATAATTAACAACACTGTGATTAGAATTTCCGAGTCAGCTGTCAACAACATAAATGATGTGAAGTGTACAGGTCCAGTGCCTCTTTTGTTGCAGTACGTACAGGTACAAGCCATGATAATGCTCTTGGCATTACAATGTCCTTCTTTGTCGCTCTTTTGGAGCAACAGGCTTTCGTGTGCCATAAAATCTTTCGAAGATGGAAGTTTATCAAATGTTTGAGGTCTATGTGAATTTGCGTGAATTGCGAAGCTTCGGACAGATGTTTCTTACAGCGGTTGGGATAGATTCATCGAGGGGCCTTCTTCACGAGTATTGATACACACAGGACTTTAAAAGAGTAACTCATTCTCGTGGAGGTGACTTTATGTTGACTGAATTTGGCTACCATTATTACAAAGAATGTACTTCCTCCCATACTGATAAAGTGGATGTTTGTAGTACATGAAAATGCTCCCCATCCAAATGCCAAACTTGCGCCTTTGATCAAGCCCGGAATCCTTCGCTACACTGATCGAAAGAATCACCTGTCAGTAAGAAGAGAAAAAGAAATCAGGAGGAGATGATGATTCAGATCTGTGGAAAGCACTTACGCATAGACTGACTACGTCACTTCCGCAGGACTCAGAAGCCGTGTCAGCTTGGCAGTTATACGATATTCCGGTTGTTGGATCATCGTAGCCTTCAATCGTCTTCGTTCCCACGGCACAGAGGAAGTACTCTGAGATACATGGGCCGATGCTGGTGCTGATCTGGAGGTTTTGGACGGTCTTGCAGCTTCCGTCGTAGACATTATCTGGAAATTGTCAGTGGTGAGGCCGTGGGATGGGTGAAAGGATCCCTGCACATTGAGGTCTGGTTTAGGGGCGCGATCTGGCAAAGTTGAACTCGTGCAAATTGGAGACGTCTTACATTGTGTAGAACCGGTTCCAAGGTCTACCGGGGTTCCGATGGCGAGGTTAGAGCCGGTACAGACTGCATGGGCGATGTCAAAACCGCCCAGCATGGCAAAGGAAGCGAGAGAAATCGTTGAGGGTCTCATTTTGGCTTGCGGCAGTCTTTCGCACTTGAAGGGCTGTTCAGTGGATGAGAAGCATGTTTTCCTGTAGAACCCGGTAGTGATAACAGGCTCGACTTTTATACATTTAAACTCTTTGATTTCCCGGATGCATGCCCGAAAAGCTTGGGCTTGACGCTCCACCTTCTCGCTTCTACCTCCAGGGCTGATACAGTCGCCATTCCTCATTCAGCAAGTGATCTCGTATACGATGGGCGTCTGCTCAGATAGAAGGCTGCTTGCGCTCGAGCCGTCGTGGTTCCTGCATGTCCAATTTAAGCCACAGCATTAAGAGATCACGTCCGATTGGGTAGAGTGGGTAGCGAGTAAGCACGGTGCCCCCTTTTCGCTGACTAGCGGCTGGAAAACGGCTACGACGGCAAGCGAAAGGCTTGTTTCCGCCACAGAAAGCTTGTCTTTCCCTCGATAGCTTGAGACATAGCTGCAGGTCCATGCTCGCAGCAACGGCGTATTTGGTCGGCATGGCGTCGCCCGAACTGCAGGCAAAAGGAGACGGCGCAATCGCACAAACATTTCTTCACTGCCCGGCTTTCGGACCCGAGTTGGGGGAAGTTTGTCTGGTCGCGGTGGGTTGGTAATGCCTCCGGGAATACACCGGCCAGGCGAGGAACAGGGGACAGCAAATCAGGTTGCCCCTGTCCCTGGATGTCATGCGCCCGTGGGCGACCAAGCCCCAGTCGGTTCATCTCATCTCCATGATCAACAGGGTCTTCCCGATCAAGCATGCCGCTCGAGCACAGGATCAACCCAGCCGGCCGGACAGGACTTCAGACGCAGGCCACCTGTCCATAAATCACTGATCTCATTCCTCTGCTCCCTCTGCCTTGTGCTGCGTGGCTGAAGAAAACAGATGTGCTTCAGAGACGAAGGACCCAATCCGTCAACTCAACGCCTCCAAAGTCTGAAGAACTGCTGGCTCCTATGCTCAACCAAATTCGGCAAGGGCCAAAGTCAGGTAGGTCCACGCGACACTGATTAGGCCCTGCATTGGAGCTCGTGGGCGCCACACGGGTTGGGCCACATGCAGATATTAAGCTCAGGGTATCACCAATCATCACACATGCATGCATCATGCAAACTGTGTACTTTGCGAGAACTATGAAATACCCCTGATTCTTCAATTCGACTTCCAGCAGCTCTCCCTCCGGATTACATCCACATGACGGCTTGATTACGCCCTCCCCAAAGCCCTCTCGTCTACAGCCTCGTTTAAGTATCTCAACTTGAGGCTCTCAGCTGAGTTCTTGATCACAGATCAATCCTGGACTTCTCAATCCAGTGAACCAAGTAATACAATTGGGATTGACAGCATGGATATGGCAACTCATCCATTTTGGGTGGAGGACAGGTTAAATGGTGGATCTTATGCTTGGGACTTGCCCATGAGCTCTCGGATCTCTCCAGCTGAGTTTGCTAATCCCTCGTTGATGTGCTTTGAAGCTTCTGAAAGGGGCCTAGTCAAGCTTCCCGTTTAATTCACCCAACTGAGCAATTAGATTCATAGTCAACTCTTTCTGCATCCTCCAGATGCTGCGAAATGGGTCAAACCAATCACCTAGCCAGCAAGGTATTGCAGATTACCTAGGTATGCTTGAGTTTGCACAAAGCTGTCATTGAGGAATGAAGGTGTAAGTAGACCACTGCGGCATGGCATGGCAGCGATCGAGGGATGTGATAAGCTGTACAAGGAACAGACAATAGTGTACATGATTTCAAACCAGGTGACGGTTCAGTATTCCCCTATGTATAGGCACATGGAGTGATCCGTTGTGAATGCACCCAAAATCAAAAGAGTTGTCACTCCCTTGAAATTAATGCAGTCGACGACCTCGAAGACAGACAGTATCAAAATAGCAAAGAAGCTGGAAAGGAAAATGCTGTCAGCCTACAGACATTCTAGCAATATTGAGGGATGGGCACATGTTTTCTGGCCCAGGGACTTGGTGATCGTTGGAGGCTTGGAAAAACGTAGGTTCCTAATTAGGTAGGAAGGCAGACAAGCTGCGTAAAGGGGAAGGTGCAGGAACAGGAAAAGTCAGTTGCTTAGAGAGATATTCATTGATATCTAGCTAGGTACCTGAATGTACCCCAGGTGCTGCACTTCTTTCTAATCATAGCTGGTTGACTTTTAGGTCTGCACAAGCATACTCCCCCCTTGGAGACACAACAGGACATTGACAACTGCTGCCCTTCTTATCCAACCCTTATCCAACCCTTCAAGTTCTCGACAGACAAAGAAGATACGCCAGCTACCATGATGGTGAGACCATCGCTCCTGACCACTATGAGACTTCTCTTTTTCTTCTCCTTCTTCTTCTTCTTGGTCGTCGCGTCCATGAACGCGATCCCCACAGGTGAGCAGAAACACTACGAATTGGTCATTGGGGCCTATCGCGTTACTGACGCGTTGCTAACCCGACCGTGCTTCACAAGATCTTGTACAACAGACCACGACCGCGTCGGCACCGGCTTTGGAAGCATCCAGGGAGCAGAGAACTGGAAACCAAGTCATTGGGCCCATTGTGACTATCGCAACCGAGTCAACTACCACAGTCATTGTCGAGGTGTCATCCACTTCTCCACCAACAGAATGGGACACCACCTCCATGCCTACGTCAACCTCGTCATCGGTACAACCTGTCCAGCCAACCAGCTGGGTGAGCACCATTTGGGTGACACCACAAACGGTCTTCAGCACCAGCTTCTATACTGTCACAACCCATCTAAGCCAGTCTCCTCCCATATCCCAGTCAGATCTCTCCTTGTCAACTTTCCAATCCTCAATTTCATCGCCAAGCAGCTCAGCTTCTCAGAGCTCCTTGACATCAATTACCAGCGCCTCAACTCAGTCCAGTATGTCTGCTAGTCTTCTGTATTTGGCGTTGTCCTTCTATTAATTTGCTGGCGTGCTTTAATTGACAACCCTCTCGCACGACTCGCAATCGGGTAGGAAGACGCCAGATAATCGCTAATAATGACGCGTAGGACTGTCTTCTGGCACCGCCACAATGAAGCTCACTACGTCAGCTTCCAGCAGCTTGACTTCGGCCACTTCATCTGTCACTCTAGGTTCAAGCCAGGGCAGTGGAAGTGACAGCATGACGGTTACTGGCGTTCCCAACAGCCCTACACCCACACAAGGTGAAACTTTCACAGGGTTTCCCATGTCAAACATTACCATTTGTATTGATGGGACGGAATACCACCCGCCACTTCCAGGGCAAGACCCCTTGATGATCATCTTGAGCGATGCCACAACGGCCAAGATCACTGACGCAGCCATCGAGCGAGATGGGGTATCTCTTACTATCCCGAACTATGGAGAGCTGAGCCAGAATGAGGGATCCTCAAGCCAGCAGCTATCGTCTTGGTCTGTGCAATTTTCCACACGCCAATTTCGGCCTCCATCATGCTTGTTGAGCATCTTTGAATGTTTCAAACAGGCAGAGGCGGATTTCAAAAGTGCGGCAATCTCCATGGGAGACTCTCTCGCCTCGATAGGCGCCCTCATAATGCAGGCCGGCATTGCTGATGCGGCTACTGCTGCTGGTTACGCTTCTGAGGCCAGTAACTACAGTGTCACCGCAGTTTCCCTCATGAATGGCATGAGCTCCACCTTGTCTAGCCTCGAGGGTTCAGCAGAGGCACTAGATGGTGCTATGCAGGCAATCAATGAAGGTTTAGAAACCTTGACCTCGATCGAGATGGAAGACCTTACTGAGGCTGGTCGTATTTTCAGCGCCTATCCTGAAGTTTCCTTGGCGAGGGGCATGCTTAGCAACCTCTCAAACATCATGAAGATTGCCTGGGCGAACTCGCCCACTGTCATTCAGAGCCTCTGGAGCCTCTGTCAGGGCCAATGGCTACCAATAACTTCAGGTGGAGCGTTGATAACAAGTGTCTGGGGCCTCCACGAGATCGGCAAGGGAGCAGTGACGGAACAGAAACCAGTGGAGCAGCGATTACACTTCATCTTACTTGAGCAGGGGTTTCCCATCAGCATTTTCAACATCTGGACATTTGCCCTTGACCAAAACAGGGGCACCAAGACTGCTGCGGATGCGTCTGTCAATGATGACCTGAAGCACAGGGGGCTAGAGCCTGCTTATGGACCTGGGTACACCACAGGGATCACCAGGCCAAAGGCAATGCTCATCCGGTTGATACCATTCGTGCGCGTGGTATATTTGCACCCAACCTTTGAGCAAAAGAAAAGATGGTCTATTGTCTTGGACGCCCTCGAGGGCACGCATGCAAACGGACTCAACCAAAATCGATCGTTTTTCAGGAGCTCTTCTGCCTCTGGAAAGCGTGAGCTTGAAGATGGTCAAGCACAAATGAATCTGGCAGCCTTCTCTCATCGGAAGGGTATGTTTCCAAATTGGGAATACACGAGAGATTCGTCTGGAGGCGATGGTGTTACAATATTCGTTCCGGACAGCGGTGCGTCCATCGATGGACCCGCTTGGCAAGTAAGTCATCAGGCGCAGGATGCCGTACAATCCATGCTGACCAGGCCGAACAGGCTGAGATGCGCAATCCAGAGTGGTATGTGGCTCCGAATGAATTGACTCTGGCGAATATTCCGGAGGAGCTCCAGGCCCCGAGAGATATGTTCGATTGGGGAGCACACGGTACCGATATGGCATGTCTGGCTAGCGGCCATACGTTCAGTCTCGCACCTAAGTCTAACCTGTATCTCATCAAGACGACAAATGCGTGGCTCGATAAGACTGATGTCCCAGGGGGCGATGATGTCTGGATGCTGAATCGAGCCTCTCCCGACTCGCTACACGATGCTTACTTTCACATTGTGCAGACAGTCAAGAACCAAGGGCTGCAGGGGAGAGCAGTGATAAGTAATTCAAACGGTGAGCGCTCCAAAATCAACGTGATGAATTTATTCCCAAGACCAGAACCGTTTGAGTTAACTTGAGATCTGTCAGGCTTCCACTATCCTCGTTACATCAACGATCAGTCAACATGGGAGCCTTTAGCACGTGGCGAAGGCCCCGAAATGACAGAAGAAGAGGTGAAAAAGGTGATAGATGAGTTGGCTAACTTCGTCCGAGCCGTGAATGAAGTCTACGATGATATAGCCAAGGCAGCTAGGTCGAACGGTGTCATCTGGATTCAAGCTATAGGCAACCAAGGTGCTTACCCTTATGGGGCCGAAGACCCGCGAATAGTTCCAGGCGTCATGGCCGCAGCTGGAGATACGATTCCAAGGTTTGGAAGCACAAGAGACAGTGAGATGATTACTGTCTCGGCAGCCCTTGAAGACGGAACTCTCTGGCCGGGTGCGTGTCCTAGAGGCGTCCACGTGGGAGATGTCTTCATACAGGATGACAACGACCCTAGACTGCCGGCGGGCACAAGCCTTGGTTGGATCGACATTTACGCCCCTGGATACGACATGCCTTCTTGTTCGGTTGACGATGGGGCGACGTTGTTCAGACCACGACAAACAAGTGGTGCCGCGGCGCAGGTGGTAAGTTACAGCTTCTGCCCCATTTTCCCGTGGGCCGTTATGGTCCAGACCATTCGAGCTTCTGCCCAACAAATGAAAAAAAAAAGGAATTTTTCGTCTGGAGAAAACAGACTGATGACCCATCTGTTGATCTAGGCTGGCCTGGTTGCGTACTTTCTGGGCTTGCCGGAAAACGTTGAGCGATTTGCCTGGAGTGACGCAAGAAACCAGCATCTGCTGTGGGGAGTCCGGATGAAGCAATTTATGACGGCTCTGTCATATCAGTGGACAGACGGGATTGATGGCATAATTCAACCAGAGTACCTGGGGAGGCTGCCTTTCAACCTTCCTAGCATTGTCAACATGGCCTACAATGGCGCACACGGGCCTATGAATGGTGAGTAGAGGTCCCATCCGACTGGCGCCTCCGCCAGCTAACGATGAATACCAGACTGCCCATTGCCACCGACAAAGATACAAGATGAGGGAAACATGAAGTTGGACCGAGCCATGTCTCCGTCCTGCGAATACAAGCCAAGTAACCAGTTGGGACTCCACTTGGATGCCGTCATCAACTCAGTCGATTGATACCTCGTTCGCACCGTGGACCACGATGACAACACTCTGGCATGCTAGCTTAATCACCACCTCCAGAGATTCTGCTACAATGATTTCGTCGACAACGTTGGAGCAGATTTCCGAAATGTCTCCCTCATCGGCCTCTTCCATTTCCACCACTGACGGATCTGTCCAGTCTATGTCTTTGTCACAATCCTCGTCCCTGGTCCCGGACCTCAGCTCTTCCCAGTTTTTGCCAACCACATCGACTTCAACTGTAGTGGAAACAAAAACTTCAGCTTGGACCTCGGAGCCCTCGTTCGAGATTACTCTTAGCTCCTCCCTCCTCATGACAGAGACAGCATCGTTTACCTTGACCGTCGGAACTAGCACCGTCTCCTCAGCAAGTCTCACAGCAGCCACCACGTCGACCAGCATTTCGGTCGCAGATACGATCAAGTCTGTATCCATTTCCGCGACGGAATCCCATCCATCTTTCCCAAGCAAGACCAAAACATCAACGACTTCGACCGCGAACCCGTCTTCGGATCACGAGACGACCACGGAGCCGGTGTACACGACCACGGTAGGCTCGGAATGCTGTCCATATTATCCGAGATGCTGCATGAACCCTCATGGTGATGGATGCGGCACCTTTGCGGCACCTACTTTCTGCACCTCAGAGCCGTGGGACCTGCCGCCCAAGTAGTGGTGTACAAAACTTAGCACAGATTCCCGCGTGAGGTTGATTGATCAAACGGGCAGGTCGGCTTTTCGGACACATGTAAGCCACTTTGCTATCGGAGTCCATACTTGTCTAGTCTTTCAGCTATTGAACCCTGGGCCGGTGAATGATGAAGGATGAATAGAAACACCCCGTAATCAAAGAACTCCCTGTGAAACCTAATCAAATTGCCACGTAAGAATTATCAACAGACACACCAAGCGATTCATGTCCTGTTAGTTGAGAACCAGCGCCAGCGATTGGCCGCCCCAACACAGCTCTGTAAATGCGACACAAATTCCTCGCGCGTGCTAGACGCATGCATCCTACATCCGCGACATGTGAAGCCATCCTGAATCTCTTCGGTCATGGGATTAAGGAAGGGGAGAATCGTGAATGCTGTGTACAAGAGGAGATAACTTTGCCTGGACGGGGGCAAGAGGCGATCACAGCCTTGTTGTAATTCACGAGCGTGCTGACCTGCTACTATGTATCGACGCCTCGAGAACTGCAACATTTAGTGTCAGCTATCAGATCATGGAAGAACGCGCTGTGTAAGATTAGATGTTCAGACCCAAAAGTGTCTGCCAATAACTTGTCCCGCAGGCAGCAGGCTAATCAATAGTGTCAGGCCAGTAGTGAGACAGCCTATACGTGTTGCAGATGTGTGTCCGCGCAAAGATGAAGACAGCCTGCAGGAGCTGCTTACTAGAGTGTGGTTCCAGCCGTATGCATCAGGTATTGTGCGCAAGACCGGGAAGTCTCTCTTGATGATGTTGGCCGAGGGAATCCCGATGACACCTCGCGTTAGCTCACTGAGAAAAGATGGCTGCAACTTGGCCTCGTTTGTAAAACACCTGAGACAGCAGCGCTGGACGGTAGGGATGCTCAAGAGGTCACCGAACTGACCACAGAAGCTGCAGCTACTTGTCGTGAGGGCGGAGAAAAGAGTGACCATGTCCACGTGGGAAGCAACCTGGGTGTTGAGGAAGATCCAGAGACAACCCGCGACGTGCCTCCCGACCAGGCGAAACTCCCTAACGCTGGCGATTGCCTCGCGAGCATGTCGGCTGACCTGGCTGAAGCTGAATGCTGAGGCGATGTCCAGGCCCAGGCACACATTGGCCATGAGTTCCAGAGGGAGCTGGCCGAGCTGGCCGAGTTTTGAGACTGGTGCGGAGGAGGTGAGAGGTTGGAAGATAGTAGCTGGAATGTCTCCAGGTGGTGGTCGGGCAAAGGCCCGATGGAGGTTGAGGGGGCGTGAGAGAAGGCGGAAGGCCTCATCAAGCTCATCGGCTGACAGCTTGTCGAGATCCATGTTGGGCGATGTCGTGATGGAGAGTGATCAGACAGGGCTTTGAAGCGGAGGTTCGAAAGACACAAGCCTGCCACACATATAACGGTCACAGTTGCAGTCTGACGCAGGATCTGTGGTGGCTCTTGTATTCGGACGGCGAGTGTTGCAGAGGATGATATCGCCGTCCACACGAACGAGGACAAACGGCTTTGGAAGCACGGGGCTGCTTTCGAGAGCACGGTCATGACAGCGGAAATTTGCATTCATGACCTATCAAGCAGAAGAGGATGCCAGTTAAAGAGCCAGGCCTCAGTCTATTTTTATTGTTTGCTGCAGAGGGGAAAGGAGGCGAGTGCCCAGGTCGAGAGCATCCTTATTAACCTCGGGAAGGTTGAGAAGATGGCCAAGCTAGAAAGGCAACATCAGCCGATTTAGACTGCGAGGCAGGCGGCAGACAGGGGTCTCTGACACCTAAGTAGCTCCCTAGCTACCCCCTAGTACCTAGCTACCCCTACAGCCAACGTCAGAGCCACCTATATGGTGCGCGATAGAGCTGACTTTCCAAAAACTCCTTGTTAGCTTATTTTCTATTAATATATTAACCCTATGGAAAGGATAAGTAAATTTAATTAATTTAAAAATTTTAAAGTTTTATTTTTTCTTTAAGCTAAAAGAAGTTAATATATAAAATATCCTTATTAATTTCTTAAAAATCCTTAATTTTCTTTCTTATTCTTAATATTTTTAAATCCTCTTAAGATTAATAAATATACCTTAAGAAACTCTCTTTTTTTTTTTTTAAAAAAAAAACCTTTTTATTAAAATTTTAAAAAAAAAACCACCTTTTTAAGAAAAGGCTAAATAAATATTTAAAGAATTAAATGTTAAAGAGAATTTATATAATTAGCTAGTAATAAAAGAGATTTATAAGTTGGAAGTAGCTAAAGTATTATAAGGTACCTAATCTGAAGGTGTGGTTGTAGGTAAAAAGGGGGTTTTGGAAAGTCAGCGTTATCGCGCACCATGACTTACCTAAGCCGGGCGCAACGCCCCTCTCCCCTGCTGTTATTCTCCTGGAGCTCGACGCGTCGCGTATTTGGAGCTTTCTTCCACAGTTTGGGCGCAAAAGCACACCTCGCCTCTCTCTTTCTTCCCAACCCCATCGCCGTGAGTACTGTTCCTCTCTTTCTTCATTACCATCATCAAAAAATTCCTAAAATAACTGACAACCTGTCTTGAAGCAATTGACTGCGAACGCGCTCCCTCCCGCATTTTCCACCAAACTCGACTCTTCCCCTTTTCCGTCCTTACTTCCACTTCCACACCCACCAACCGTCAACCTCGACACCAGCACGTCCACCATGGCGCCAACAAAGACCGCAGCCAAGGGTCGCGCGCGTGCATCCAGGACCAGCGACGCCGGCGCTGCAGCCGCTGTCGAGTCTCCTCCCCCGGCAGCCGCCGCCGACACCCCCAGGCGTCGCGGTCGCCCAGCCAAGTCCGAGTCTGGTGTCTCCAAGGCAAAGGTCAAGAAGGCCTACGTCCCCACCGGACGGCCCCGTGGTCGCCCTGCCAACCCCAATACTGTGCCCAAGGCTCCCTACGTCCCTACCGGACGGCCCCGCGGCCGACCTCCCGGAACGGGCAAGAAGGCCAAGGCCGCTGCGAAGAAGGCCGGCGGCGCCGCTGCTGCTGCTGCCAAGAAGGGGACCACCGTTGCCCGCGGCGGACCTAAGGGTCGCAAGTCGGACGCGGCCAAGGCCAAGGAGGACGAGGAGCTCGGCGAGGATGTCGACATGGAGGGTGACTCCGCCGAGGAGCAGGCTGGCGACGACGAGCAACTTTCCGACGAGGACGGCGGTGAGTGAAGCGGAAGATGGCAAGTCTTGGATACGAACCCCTCACCCCATTTCCTATCAACTATCTGAAACCGCAGGAGTAATGGTCTAACATAGTGTCACTGCAGATGACGGGCGCGGAACACCAGATCGCGGGTCTGGACCTCTTGGTGAGGTATAGCTTTTATCCACATCTCATTTTTGTTTGGCCGTCTTCTCAACGCGATTGCATAGGACACGACGAGCAACCGCGGGTTTTTCACAATGGTCGGTCGAAAACTCGGGCTCCAGTGATCATTGACGACGGGCGATCAGCTGGTTTGCATGGGCTCATCTCCTATTCGACTAGTAATGAATTCTTTGGACGGGGTCTCTTTCTCACTTGACGATGTTGGAACTCAGCTTGACCGTGCTCGATGAAGGGCACCAAAATGCGGAGGGTTTGGCCTTGGTCTATGCGATTGCTTGTTTTTCTATAAGGGCGGCTGTACAACGAATAGGGAAGGGGTATCATTTTCAATCAATGCCTTGCCATCACGTCCTCATACCAGTATCGAACGCCTTCCTCGTGAAACAGAACGCCAACACGTGACCGAACTCGGCCAAACGTGGAGACAGTGACAATCACTCCCTCTTCCACGCGTCAAACTCCTCGCTGAGGTGCTTCTTGAGCTCCTTGAGCTTGTTGCCAAAGCCGCGCCCGCACCGCCAGCACACCATGGGCTTCTCATGCCAACCAGCCTGATTCCGCCGCGGATCGTCCATTGCCAGCGGGAAGTCGTCCAGCGGCACGAAGAAGTCGGTCGTGAACGAGTTGTAGTGTTTCCTAACCTTAAGCCTAGCCGAGTACATATCGCGGCTGAGGACGTGCACATGCATATGGTTCATGCTCGGCCGTGCGTGTACGCCGACCTTGATCTCGGACATCCAGTCCCTGCCCTGCGGGAGCACCACCCTGCCCTCCGCGTCCCTCTCGGGGTCGACCTCGCCGTCCAGGACGGCACGCCGGGGAGCTTCGGCCGCGCTGTGCTCGCCAACCAGCCGCTGGAGCTCCCTGGCGACGAGGTCCTTGAGCTTTTCCGCCTCCACGCGTACCGAGGCGAGGAACTCTGCGTCCTCGAAGGCGTCGAAGGGGTGGATCAGGGTCTTGTCTGGGGATCGCGGGAGGAGGAGGCAGTGCACCGTCGCTTTGGGATACATGTCGTGGATGGCTACGAAGCGCGGGGTTGCGAAGATGATGCTGCCGACGGGTAAGGATTCGGCTTTTGCGATGTAAAGGCCTAGGCCGTCTCGGCCGGCGAAGGAATTGGTGTTCATTCTTGAGTTGGCAGAGACGGTCTTGATCTCTGGCTTTGGCTTTGGAGCCATGAGTTCGGAGACTTGAGGGTGGATTCGGTGGTTAGTTAGCTGGTCCCAGACAAATCTGGGAGTACTAGCATACAAGCATTGCGAATCTTGCCAGATTTGCTGGGCTTGTCTGATTGCAGCTCTGCGCCGTGTATCTCATCCTGAGTGATGGCATCCTCGGGATCCGCCAGAGGGGCCTCGTCACCGACCGGTGGTCTTTTCTTGTTGGGAGCATCAGGAGAGTCCGACGGGTGCCTCTTCGGCCGAAAGCTCGAAGATTCAGACCCCATCGCGAATCTCGCCTTCCTGTATGTCGCAGGAGGGCATACGAAAGTCCACTTCCAACGGCTGGAAGTGATCAAATTCTTCTCTTGGTTCGAGTGGCTTTGAGGGACGGAAGAGTGTCTTTGAGCTTCACATGCCCCGCGTTTCCAGACCTCCCCGCGCCGCGTCATGGAGCCGTCAGGTAGCCCGCACGCGTCAAGCTCGGAAGCTCACAAGCCACCATTAACACTAGCATCACACTAAGCTGGTGACCTTGGCTCACAGACATGCCTTTGTGGCATACTACACCTGCTAGGGTACCTTAAGATGTAAATGTTTCCAGAGAGCAGCGAAAACGTGTCTTGGATATCCAGGAGTTCTGACCGAGCAGCGCTAATGGTTGACACGAGACCCTGCTGCAGATTGAGTGGTCATGTCACGTTGGTCCCTTCGTGGTCGTTTTCTCTTCATCGGGTTCCGCTTCAGGTCGAGCCTGGACAGGCTGGTTTGCCCCGGCAGCTTGGGCGGCGGCAGCCGTCTCAGTGGCACCGGCTGGCGGCGAGCCGGCCGTTGAAGGCCGGTGGGTCTGTTCGTGAAGACATTGCCCGCCTAATGATTTTAAAGGCCTGAGAAGCCTCGCAAAGGACGTCTATATACTTACTGTAAGTGACAACTGTCTGTGAGGGAGATGTTTGGATAACCAACAAAAAAGGGTTCAGTTCAGTTCATGCATCAGCAGTTTTCAGCGCAACAGGTGCTCTAATCTCCTCAGGGTCAGAGCTCCTGGATTAGTAGGGGATACTGTAGGGACACTGTGCCTGTGTAGCTACGCACTTCAGCCCTACGGGCCTCCGCTCCCTCCTAAATCAATTGGCAGGAAAACGCCCCCAAATCGCCTCCCGCTAGTGACTCGGGTCTGATAAACCCGGATCCCCCAAACACCAGGAATCGCTCACTTTTATGGCGGCAGCCTCAACGACCCATGGAACCACGCAACGTCATCTCTGCGTGACTGCCTCTCCGCAACTATGGTGAAAAAAGGCAAGGAGAAGGGCGGTGCTGCTGCTTCTGGGACGGCTTCAAAAACCGCAGCGACCAAGGCCCCAGCGACGAAGACACCAGCGAAGAAGGAGTCAGCAAAGAAGGCGGCGCCGCCCGAAGATGACTTGCTCATCTTCACTACCGATAAGAAGAAGAAAGGGGGCCCGTCTGCTGCCGAGGAGGGGCCCCCTGAGCCGCCGAAGCCGACAGCAAAGCAGATAATAGGTGGCCAGTCGTGGACCGGGAAGCTTCCGGTGAACCTTCTCTCGGAGCACTGCCAGAAGATGAAATGGGAAAGACCCGACTATCATCAGGTAAGATTCATTCCGGTGCCACATGAGAGGCCCTCAGACATAAAAACTGGGAACTCAGAAGAGGACATCCCAAGGGAGTTGCCCAACATGGGAAGCTATGCTATGCCAGGCTACTACTAGATGTCATTCTTGAGACATTATCCCATGAGGGTCCTACAGGAGACCATCCCACTATCCTATGTGAGGTTATCCTGTATGGGGCTTCCCTATATAAGGTCACAACATATGAGGTTACCTATGTGTGTGCGGCTGTCCCGCTGGAGGTTATCCCACCAGCAACTGCCAGCGTTGGGTGTTCGTGTGAAGCAGACTTACGCTCTCACCGTTTGCCCTGAATAAAGAACTGTGCTGATGAAACTTTTACAGCGGAACAATGCGGACGGCTTCTCTTCCATGGTCACTCTCAGTGCCAAGAACCCCAAAACCAAGGAGACTGTGAGACTTGAGCCTTTCAAGCTGCCTCCAAGCCATGTGCATCTGGCGTACAAGCCTACGGCCCTGGAGGCGAAACACTTTGCCGCCACATACGCGCTGTACAGGGTGTGCAGCATGAAGAACATGAGCATGGTCCTCCCGCCCGACTACAAGTCGTTGTGGAAGGAGTTCGAGACCTTGAAGAAACAGGATGTCAAGGACGGCAAAGGTTGGATGTACGAGGCCGACCCCTTCAAAGCACTGGAGGAGAGGCAAGCCGCAAAGATGGCTGCTGAAAAGAAGAGAAAGGAGCAGCAGGCCATCAAGGAGAAGGCCGCTCAGATGCCAGGCGCTTCGGGCCTGGTGCTCAGGGGCAACGCCGCAGCGTCCGGTGGCGGCGGCCACAACCCGATGAAAGGCTGGACCACGGTGCCCAAGATGGAGATGGGCAACAAGACAAGGCAGCACTTGGAAAGCCTCCTCAGGCGCGACACGGTCTGGAACCCACATGCTGTCGTCATGAGCCAGAACCAAAAGGCGTCTATCATCAAAGAATTCAAAGAGTTGGGGTTCCGGCCCAGTCACATCGAGGAAGCGATCGAGGAATGCAAGGACCGCGAGGAGGCACTCGAATGGTTATTGATCCATGTTCCTGAGGATGACCTGCCGAAATGGGCCCTGCCTGAAAAGTATGGTGCGGGTATAACTGTTGGGGCCACCGACCTGCGAAGGGAGGGTGCTGCGACTCGTCTGGCACAATCCGGCTACTCCATCGAACTTTGTCGCAAGGTCTACGACGACACTGGAGACGAGGGCAAAGCGGCTGAGGCACTCCAGAAGATACTGCTGAGCAGTGGTTCGGATGTCGATGAAAACACCATAGCCGACGACGCTTTGTCTACCGAGGACCGTGACCAGCAATGGGAAGATGAGCTGGCAACTCTGGATTCGCTTTACGGGGAACAGTATTCCCGCCTGGGGACAGAGGTCTGCCAGGTGCGGCTAGAGTCTGTCATAAATGGCGCAAAGAAAGACGTCGAGGCCTCCATTCAACTACGCAAATCGCCGCATTACCCGTCTCAGCTCATCATTTCAGTGGTTGCAGACCTCCCATCATACATCAAGCTAAGTATCATCAAGAAGACGCTGGCGTACATGGCCGAGTCTCTTGAAGGTGAGGAGACGAAAATGTTCTACGTCATCAGCTGGATGCAGGAAAACATGAACGACATCATTGAGAGGCCGGGTGCCCTTCGCGACATTGCAGCTGTGTCTTCCACAGCCTCAGAGGAGAAGACAGTTTCAGTGCGGAAGCGGGCCAAGAAAATATCACGACATCCCAACCCTATATCATGGATCCCTGAGAGCAGTGCCATTCAAAGGTGGATAGAGAGGCAAAAGCTTCCCTCTTTCCAGAAGATGTTGGCGCAACGCCGGAAATTGCCAGCCTGGGAAGTCCGGGAGGATATTGTTGACACAGTTGAGGCCAACCAGATCACCATTATCTCGGGTGAGACTGGCTCGGGGAAGTCGACACAATCTGTGCAATTCATACTCGATGATCTCTATGACCGTGGGTACGCCAAGTGCGCAAATATCATCGTCACACAACCTCGCCGAATCTCCGCCCTTGGTCTGGCGGATCGAGTGAGTGAGGAACGCTGCATGACTGTTGGTCAAGAAGTCGGCTACTCCATTCGTGGTGAAAACAAGACCAGCAGGGATACGAAGATCACCTTCGTCACGACCGGCGTGCTTCTTCGACGCCTACAGACGTCTGGCGGCCATATCAACGACGTAGTGGCTTCCCTTGCAGACGTCAGCCACGTTGTGATAGACGAGGTTCACGAGCGATCTCTCGACACGGACTTCTTGCTGAGCATCGTGCGTGACGTTCTTAGGAAACACAAGGACCTCAAGTTGATCCTGATGAGCGCAACCTTGGACTCTGCAACATTCGGGGATTATTTCAAGGCCGATGGACTCCAAGTCGGATTCGTGGAAATCGCTGGCAGGACGTTTCCTGTCCAGGACTTCTATCTGGATGATATTATACATCAAACTGGGTTCACGGGACAACATGATTACCACGACAGCAAAGACCGCACTCTGGACGATGAGCAGCGAGTTTCCAAGGTGATCCAGAGCCTCGGTATGCGAATCAACTACAACCTCCTTGTCGAGACTGCCAAATGCATCGACGCAGAACTGTCCCAGACGCAGAAATCAGGTGGCATACTCATCTTCTTGCCCGGTGTTGCAGAGATCAATCAGATATGCAGGCTGTTCAGCTCCGTCACATCCCTCTATGTTCTTCCTTTACACGCCTCTCTCGAAACAAAGGAACAGAGACGTGTATTTGCGACTCCACCTTCGGGCAAGAGGAAGGTAGTCGTGGCCACTAACGTCGCTGAGACATCTATCACAATCGACGATATTGTTGCCGTCATCGACAGCGGGCGAGTGAAGGAGACGAGCTACGACCCGCAAAACAATATGCGTAGGCTTGGAGAGACGTGGGCGTCTCGAGCTGCTTGTAAGCAGCGTCGAGGACGTGCTGGCCGTGTCCAGGCCGGGAAATGCTACAAGCTCTATACCCGGAATCTGGAAGAACAGACCATGCTCGAGAGGCCTGACCCGGAGATACGGCGAGTACCTCTGGAGCAACTGTGCCTTTCTGTACGGGCGATGGGGAACAAAGATGTCGCTGGTTTCTTGGGCCGGACTCCCACACCTCCCGAGGCGATGGCTGTTGAAGGTGCGGTCAAGATGCTTCGCCGAATGGGGGCTCTCGACGGAGACGAGCTCACGGCCCTCGGTCAGCAGCTCGCCATGATTCCTGCAGACTTGCGCTGTGGTAAACTCATGGTATACGGCGCGATCTTCGGCTGCCTGGACGACTGCGTTACTATCGCCGCGATCCTGAGCACAAAGAGCCCGTTCCTGTCGCCTCCGGATAAGCGAGAGTTGGCGAAGCAAGCGAAGATGAGGTTCGCCCAAGGAGACGGTGACCTCTTGACCGACCTGAGGGCTTTCCAGGAGTGGGACGAGATGATGCAGGACCGGATGCCGCAGCGTCAGGTCCGGGGCTTCTGTGATGACAATTTCTTGTCATACAACACCATGTCAGATATCGCGTCAACGAGGACGCAGTACTACTCCTCTCTCGCTGAGGTGGGCATTGTCAACTCGGCAGACGTCTACTCTGGGAGATACAGAACCCAGTCGCCCTCCATGCCACTTCTTCGAGCGTTGACAGCTTCGGCCTTCAGCCCGCAAATTGCGAGAATCCAGTTTCCTGACAAGAAATACATGGCCTCGGTTTCCGGAGCCGTTGAGCTCGACCCCGAGGCCAAGACGATCAAGTACTTCAACCAGGAGAATGGCCGGGTGTTTGTGCACCCCAGTAGCACACTGTTTGACAGCCAAGGATTTTCGGGCAACGCAGCATTTGTATCATACTTCACACTGATGGCGACGTCCAAGATATTTGTCAGGGACTTGACTCGTAAGTACCCCGACCTCGCAGCCACGCCCCCAAGTCTATTATTGCCCTTCTCTCCTGCCACTACTCTAATCCTTACTGACCGGCTCAGCTTTCAACGCGTACACGCTCTTGATGTTCTCCGGGGCTATAGAGCTAGACACCCTAGGCCGAGGCCTTGTTGTAGATGGATGGCTACGCTTGAGGGGCTGGGCTCGTATCGGAGTTCTCATCTCGAGGCTTAGGGGCATGGTCGACAACATTATCGCGAGGAAGGTGGAGAATCCCTCTATAGACCTCCGGGATAATGACGTTATCAGAGCGGTCACAAAGTTGATAGAGCTAGACGGATTAGACGCGTGATGATTCACGCTCATCAGGTACATTTCACCGCGTCTCCAAGGCATTTTACTCTGGCAGCAATATGCGCTGCTCGACGCCCTGCTCCAGGCCCTGTGTTATCCGCTCGCAAAACCCCCTTCTCTGGTACAAAGCGCCTCCAAATCACCGCCCATGCAGGTAGGTCCCGTACTGCTAATCGATTTCTAGAGTCTGCCCATCCATAGAGCTTTAATAATGGGCCCTGTGGACGTGTTCCACACACTGCCAAAGATTAGCAACATGAGGTGGGACCACAGCCAAGTCCTTGAGTCATTAGGTAAGTAGATACACGGTACTCCAATGCCAGAGTTGGATGTTAGTGACGGGCGTGACCGGGCGTCCGACCGTTGTGACCGAAACGGTACCCCCGCACGTGATCGGTGCCACGGCACGGCAAAACGGCGCTAGAGCTGGAGCCTCAGGCAGCCAAGGTAGGAGCCCCCTTCCCCTGCAGTGCACGTCCCATCGCGCCCTGCTCAATCGGAGGGACGCGGTGCATCACTTGTTTATCACCACTTTTCCCATTCCCTCCCCCGCCCTCGACGCGCCCATCACCCATCCAGACAATTGGCCTCCGATCCTTTCGATGCCAGTCGTCCGGCTGCCCCTCATGGATACTTCAGAAAACACCGCGACGCCGTCGCCGGCTCCGGATTCCCGCCGCCGGTCTGGCCGTCAGACGCGAGTTCCCGAGAAGTTCCAGCCCGAGATCACGATCGCGCCAAAACGCAAGAGGGGCGAGCAGGATGAGGAGGACGATGTCGAAAACCACGACCCAGAAGGAGACGAGGGAGATGAGGAATCTAGCGAAGATGATGCCGACGACTCTCCTGCGGAAGAAGAGCGCGCTAAGCCCAAGAAGAAGAGGACCGCGTCGCAACAGTCGCGAGCCAAGAAACCAGCCGCAAAGAAGCCAAAGATCAACGGCGCAGGTCCTGCCGCAGGTTCACTGTCCTTGGGGCTCCCTAGTAGGCCGAAAGCGAAGAAGAGTGTGCGCGTCATAACGGGCGACAGGCGCGACGGTGATGGAGTATATGGTGAGCAGTGGCGTAACTCGGAGCGCGCATGACCCCTATTGACGCAATGCAGCGGACATATTCGGATCCGGCGATTCATCGGACGATGTAGCGAGTCGGTGGTACCAGAAATACAAAACGGACAACGAGGCAGCCGTGACAGACCTCGTCAACTGTGTACTCCTTGCTGCGGGATGCGACGAACAGGTGACGGAAGACGACATCCGGGACCCCGACAATATTCAAAACCGCCTATCAGAGCTGCAGGATCTGTACCAAGAGGTGCGTCTAGCATGTGTTGCTACTTGAATCATGCTGACCAGTGGTAGAAACAAATCACCGACTACCCATTAGCAAAGCCAAAGGAGAGCAGGAGCTTCCGAGACTTGCTGGTCAACTTCTTCGAGTCTTTGATCAATGTGCTACACGAGACAGATGTACTTTACACTGATGAACCGCTCATGGAGAACATTGCGCGCTGGTTGTACACCATGTCCTCGTCGACTCTGCGCCCATTTCGACACACAGCCACAACAATTGCTTTGGCCATGGAGCTGGCCATGGCAAGCGTTGCAAAGAAGCTCGACGACAGGATAACGAAGACCGCGCAACAAGTTGACACTGAAAAGAGCCGGAAAGGCAAGAACAGGAACAAGGAGATGCTTGCCAACCTGCAAAGGTCTCTCAACGAGGCAAACAACAATCGCGAGATGTGCGGCAAGTATATGCTAGACAATTTCGAAGTCGTGTTTGTCCACAGGTATCGCGATATCGATGCGCGCATCCGGACAGAGTGCGTCGAAGCTCTTGGCTCATGGATCTGGATTCTGCCAACAGTCTTCATGGAGCCCGAGTATTTGAGATACCTCGGGTGGCTGCTGTCGGACATCGTACCGTCTGCACGCCAGGAGGTGCTCAAGCAGCTTTCGAGAGTGTTCAAGCGTGATGCCTCAAAGCTTGGCCATTTCATCGAGAGATTTCGACCTCGTCTGATGGAGATGGCAACACAAGACTTGGATGTCAGCGTGCGGGTTGCAGCCATCGGTGTGATCGAAACCCTCGGAGAGGCAGGCATGCTTGAGCCCGACGAGATCGATGCAGTCGGCAAGCTCATTTTTGATTCAGAGCTGCGAATCCGGAAAGCAATTGTCAAGTTCTTCTCCGACGCAGTCCAAGCTGCTGTTGAACAGAAGGTTGAAGCGATTGGCGGCGAAGAGGCTGTCGAGGAGATGTTTCCCGAAGGCGAAGATGTTGATGACACTGCACCACGGGCCGAGTGGCTCGAAGTCAAGGCCCTGGCGGAGACGCTGGCTGTCTATGAGTCACAGCTGGAGGACGCAGACGAAGAAGATCGACGTGGACTCGACATATCTGCGGATATGATCAACGCAACTGCCCCTGACACGCGGATGTCGCTAGCATCTCAAGTGCTGTACGAGAAGATGGAGACGGTCAAGAGCTGGGAGCTGCTGGCTGGCTTCTTACTGCACGATCATTCGACGAGCACAAAATCGAGGTCCAAGTCAAAGGCGAGCTCGACTGAAGCAACGATGCGACAACACATCGCCCCCACGGCACAAGAAGAGGCAATCCTGCTCGAGGTTCTAGTCGCGGCTGTCAAACAAAATCTGCTGCACATACACGACGCCGAAAAAGGGAAGAGGAAACCGACGAGGGGCGACGTGGCAGAGTCTGCCGAAGAAGTTGCTTTACATCTGGCCCATGTGATTCCAAAACTCCTGAACAAGTTTGGCGCCGATCCGAAGACGGCTACAACGGTCCTGCGTCTGCAGCACCTCCTTGACCTCGACGTGTTCCAACAGCTTCGACAGGATTCATCGACATTTGAACACCTTCTGGCTGGAATTTGCACGCAGTTCACGAGACATGCGGACAAAGATGTTGTCTCAGAGGCTACACTCGCTCTACTCCATACTCGAAAGTGTGAAGAATACGAAGAGACTGTGGACCTCAAAATCTCGGCACTCTGGGAGAATGTTATCGACTCCTTGCGTGTCTTTGACAAATCCCATGACCTCGCAAAACGAGGCGGGTTGAGCGGACCAATTCTTCTAGGTCTCTCTACGACGCTAATGAAGATTAGCAACCTGGCCAGAGTCAAGGATTGCATCGATGTTCTGGAGGCCGAAGGCACTGCTGATGGTTCGAAGGCACCAGCTATCGAGATTTTGACCAGATCGGTTCACCGTGGTCGCTTCCAACAGGCTGACGAGGACCTTGACGACTTGGAAGACGAGGCTACTTCGTATGCGATCAAGTGCTGCCACTTCTACTTTATGTGGAAGGTCTTATCACTTACGAGCGCCATCGAAATGCAGACTGATGTGTCGAACGAGGCAATAAGTCGCCTCGCCAATCTCAGGAAAACGTACCAAGCGAACCTGATTCATACGCTGTCTTCCAGAGCCATCAACGACGACCTGCGTCTATTTGCCACCGGCAGCCTGTGCGATCTGCACATTACGTTCAGCTCCATCCGCCGCACACTCGAGCGGTGGTCGGCCGTCGGTGCGGCGAAGAAGTATGCTGGGCTCTTGCCCCTCGTCCAAGAGATACAACCAGGGCTCATCCCTGAGCTCATTAATGTTTTTGACGGCGCTGAGCGCGCATATGCCAAGAAGACCAAGAGGCATCTCAACGAGCCCGCCGAAGATGAGGATCCACTCGACGATGACCAACTCTCCGATGCCGCAGACGAAGAGGACACATCAGCAGAAGAGAAACGAGCCTCGGAGCTCCGAGCAGAGAAGGCCTTGTGTGAGCTTACGGCCAAGTACGTCGTTGCCATCCTGTCGAAGATGGTGGATCAGAACGGGCCTCATGCGGGTAAGCTCAGGAAGCGACTCCTGCGCAACTCGGTGAAGCTCGGCAACAACTTCAAAGAGACGGTTGCCTTCTTGGACGAGAAGAAGATGAGAGACATCGAGGAGGCGAAGAAGAGGAAGGCCGCCTCGAGGGCGAAGAGCAAGCAGCCGGTAGCAGCGAAGCAGCCCGAGAAGCCGGCCCTCAGCGCCGAGATAGTGGTCGCGGACGATGACGAGGACGACTCAGAGGGCGAGCAGCCGGAGGAGCCAGAAGAAGGCACAGAGGAGGACTTGCGGAGACGAGAGCTGCTTGAAGACCCCATCGAGGACCACGATAGTGAGGTCGACGAGCAACCTGCCGCTGATCATGGGGCTGATGAGGAGTCGATCTTGGGAGACTGAAGACAGAAAAAAACAAAAACAGAGTCTCTTCTGAGCCTAGCGTTTTGGAGAGCTGGCGGGCGCATGGACGAATGGATTGACGGATCGACGGACCGACCGACTTTCTGACTGGTATGGATAGTGGCAACAACTTTGCATGATTCTTTGGCAGCCTGGTCTGGTCTTTTGTATTTGTAATGAATCTCTTGTGGGAGGCTGGCGAGGGTTTAGAAGCTCTTGGCACAAAGGAAAAAGCGGAGACGGGCAAGCTCGAGGGGAAGGGCGGCAGTTTTGCTTGCGATGAATGATGGTAAATACTTTTCCTTCTCTACAATGGTCATGAATGCCCCCTGTTACATACCCTTTGAATCAACGCTATTTTTCGGAGAGCTGGCCGAGCATGCACACGGGGGCGGATAATCAAGTCTTTATACATCCAATCTGAAGGTGATGATGTGGTGGTATCGTAACTAACTCCGTCCTTACCCACAACGCCATACAAACACAGAAACTGAAACAGACATGAACAACATCAAGCTAATCGCTGGCGATCTTGGTCCCGAAGAGCCCAAACACCCTTTGCCACCTCTTGCCCTCGCCGGTGTTGTCCTCCTCGCCCTCTTCGGCCTCCACCTTGACACCGTACTGCTGTATACAGCACGCAAACGGTTTGTTTGAGACCTGGCCGAGGTCCAGGCTATGCCCAGCAGCCTCCTCTTCCACCTCGCCCCCGCCCCCGCCAGAGCTGGGCGGCGGCATCTTCCGGAGGATCCTGTCCTTGAGCTCCATCTTGCGCGCCTCGAGGTCGACCTTGCGCTCCTCGAGGTCGCCCCAGAGCTTGAACATCTGCTCGCGAAGCCTGCCCAGGTGCTCCTCCCCGTCTGCGGCGGACAGGTCCCGCGCGTCGATGTCCGTGAGCAGCTGGGCCTCGGGGTTCCCGACGTGGACCCAGACGGTGGCGGGCCTCTTGTCCTTCCTGGCGAGGGCCGGCGGCTGGGCCTCCTCGAGCTTGAGGGCGAAGCGCCACTCCCAGACGCGGTTGCGGCCGCTGCGCCGGGTGTTGTCGTCCGGGTCCGAGTCCGGGTCGATGTCGTCTGCGCTGTTGTCAGACAGGCAGTCGTTGTCGGTGCGCCGCCGGCTGACGGCAAAGTCCTCGAGGCTGGCCGGGTGGAAGTCCACGACGCGGGCGTGGGTGCGGTCCTTGGCGCAGGTGAAGGGGAGCTCGAGGGATACGGGCTCGTTGGCGATGGTTGTGTGGAAGACGACTGGCTCGAGTATAGAAGAGAGAGGCCTAGGTTTAGCGTCAGGGTTCTCGCATTTGACTGTGATTGTGCATGGTCAGCTAATAAGCGGTGTACTCGCAGAGCCTGGTTCAGACAAGCAGGTGGAAACTTACTCAGATCATTCAAGTCGGGGATGAATTGCTCCTTGCTCTCCTTTGCCTCCACCTCCTCGATTGCCTTCTGTTTTGCGGCGCGCTTTGGATTTACGGCGCGCTTTGCTGCCCGTCTGGTCTTGCTGTTGTCCTTTGGCAAAGACTCCTCGGCCTTCCTCTTTTGCCCACCCTTGGGATGGTCCCTTCCTTTTTCGTAATCCCGCTTCCTCCTGATGGCGTCACGAAGGCGAGGGTCTATTTTCTCGCTGTCGGCCTGGGGGTCTAAGATTTGTACCTTAATTTTGTCTGAGAAGTTCGAATACTCTCTTTCCCCGCGAAGGAAGCCCTCGAGGTTTGTAGAATTGTGGCCGTACCCAATTTGAACTTTTTGTAGGTAAACCCAGGTGCCGATTTCGACTTGGTCTCGGATGAAGTCGGCGTGAGGCTCCCAACATGTGAGCTGTATAGACAGCTTACCGAGGGGCCCATACCATTTGCCGTCGGTGTCTCCAGGCTCTGTCGGTTTCTTGAACTTGCTGGTGTAGCCATATGGGTCGCCATCGCGCACGGGCATGCCATCAGTCCAGTCTGGGCTGTCGTCTGTCTTGTGGAAGAAGCTTGCGTTCTCGGTCCAGTCAGAGGCCCACAGAGATACCTTGTCACCCAGATCAAATGGGTTTCGGACGACCTGCACGATGAGGTCGGCGAACATGCGGTCTTGGACGTCGGCCAGTACGCTGAAACGGTCTCTAACATTCTTGGAGAGCTCGGCTCGGGCGGAAAAGTCCTCTCGGTCAGGGATGTACTGCTTGTCTATGGTGTCATACAGCCATGTGACATACTCATGCTCCTTGTCTCCGGGCTTTCGGCTGACATGGCGGGAGGGGTTTCTGAGGGCGCCCGACGCAGACTGAGATGAGCCCGATCTGGGAATCTGCCTGGCCGCGTAGACGTGTATATCGGTACGATATGAGGTGAGAAGGGAGGAATTTCCCCCGAACATCTGGTGTTTGGCCATGTAGACCACGACGACATCACCGGCCTCGACTGTGGGCATTTCCTCCTTCTTGCGGAAGACGTTGAGGTCGATACCCTCACCGTCACCTTGCGTGGACAGGTCATACAAAGTTAGAGAGCTCTTGTAGTCTACAAGTGGCATGGTCAGTAAATGCAGCCCAGGGGCTGAGAATAGGAAAGGCGTTTCTCACCCGTGCCTCTAGTCGGAATGGGCAGTTTGCAGTCCCTGACAACACCTATCACACTCACTGTTTTCCCTGGACCCTGGCTGTCGTCAAGAAGTTCGCTGATGGAAACCAAGCCTCGAGGAAGTGGTAAGACATCTTGAGCCCTCCTACGGCTCGAGGAATTGGATTGATAACGAGACATGGCGGCGTCAAGGGAGGTGTCAACATGGGCATCAATGGAAACGATGGTTAAACGGTGCGGGTGTTATCTGCTGCCTGAAGAGTTGAGAATGGCAGCTGAAATGACACCAGGTGGATCATGCCTCAAAGAATAGCAGAATGGTCATTGGAATCATGTGTGCTACCTTGTGGTGGTCTCCAATCCGTCTACCAATTTTGTGAATGGCCTCATTCAGCCATGAGACAAGACGCGTCGACGCGCCTGTACAGTGATTGACCCCAGCATTTGCTTGTCAGACAGGCTGTTAGACCATGTATCTTGGTACCTGCCGTGGTGGGCGGCACCTGTTAGGCAGGGCCGATCCAGCATATGTGGGCAGGGGCAAGCACACGAGCCAGTCCTGCTTTGTCTGTTAAGGTGTGGGGGCGGGTACTTGCAGTACCTGCGGACCTGGGAGTCTCCCCTGTGGGAGAATCTGGCCTGATATGTCAGGCTCGCACACCAGCTGGGCATGCCAGCCGTGGAAGGTTCCTTTGAGAGCTGCCAGAGCTGGCGGGTGCAGGTTTCGAAATTCGCCTTCCCTGACTGACTCTTAGCGGCGAGCCCCACTGCAAGCGGCCCAAGCCTCAAGACGCACATGCCCACAGGTGCCCCAGGTGCATTTAGACTCCAGTCTCCCACTTCCCCTCCAGAGCCAGCAGCCCGCCTGCCCGCCCAGAACCGACCCAGAAGCGAGCCCAGAGCCCAAAGCCCACGCCCAATAACCTCTCTGTCGCTTCCACCCATTCCATCTCCAAAATTCTTGCACCGCGACAACACCAAAACATCTTCCTACCCCGTCGTTGTCATCCACCAGACGGCATCAATAGGCACGTACCCACTGCAGCCCATAACTCCCCACCCGCGAGTGTGCATTCTGCAGCCTCTAACCACTTGTCGTCTCAGCAGAGTTTTGGTCTCGTTTCCCACCAAGCCGACAACCGCGTCGACACACGTAACCCAACCCAACCAACCAGCTACCCCGTCCTGCTCTCTCCCCCGCCAGCAAAAGGTCAACACACCCACGTCACAGCATAGCGCAGCAGCACCGCAACCATGGCTGAGCGCTACATCCCCGAGCATCGAAGGACCCAGTTCAAAGCAAAGAACACCTTCAAGCCAGATGAGCTTCGCCGCCGTCGCGAGGAGCAGCAGGTCGAGATTCGAAAGGCAAAGCGTGAGGAGAACTTGGCAAAGCGACGAGGCATCGGCACTGGCGAGAACCGACCTGGTGCCTCCCTGGGCGCCGCCCCCGACAGCGAGGATGAGAACCCTCCCACAGAGTCCCAGGTAAGTCGCCAACAGCCATTTGGCATGGTCCCTTCCCTCTTCCTCCTTGTGCACTCTTGCAATCATGCACCTGTCCACTGCAACACCCAAGGCTCTCACAGGTGATGATGCTGTTGTGTGCTGTCTTCCCCGCGCTATACAGCATCGCCCCTTGCGACGCCTGCCGCCCCTCACCTCACCTCACATGAATCTATCTCCCAGCGAGACAGGCGCGCATCAGCAGCAACCCACCTTTTTGGGCCCACTGCCAATGCCTGTGTCAACACCAGCATTTCACAAACCATGCATGGTTGATCATCACAATATTCCTCTTCAACCCCTCCCAATCAAAACAGATCATAGTCACCTGTCCTTGCCATCGTGTCAATCGCTACACTGCTTCTCTGAGGTCGCCAGCATGCTAACACGCAATAGTTGAGCGAGGACCTCCCTCAAATGGTGCAGGGTGTCTTCTCGGACCAGATCGATCTGCAGATCCAGGCTACCACCCGGTTCCGGAAGCTCTTGTCCAAGGAGCGCAACCCCCCGATCGAGGAGGTCATCAAGACCGGTGTCGTCAGCCGTTTCGTCGAATTCCTCCGATCGCCTCACACTCTCGTGCAATTCGAGGCCGCCTGGGCCCTCACCAACATTGCCTCGGGCAGCGCCGCACAGACCCAGGTTGTTATCGAGGCCGGCGCCGTCCCTATCTTTGTCGAGCTCCTCGCCAGCCCAGAGCCCGATGTCCGTGAGCAGGCTGTGTGGGCCCTTGGAAACATTGCCGGCGACAGCCCGCAATGCCGTGACTACGTCCTGAGCTGCGGCGCTCTGAAGCCTCTGCTTGCCCTGCTCGGGGACAGCCGCAAGCTCAGCATGCTTCGCAACGCCACCTGGACCCTGAGCAACTTCTGCCGTGGAAAGACCCCCCAGCCAGACTGGAACACAGTGCGTTTGAACTTGCCATCCTGGCACCCACTTCAGACCAAGGCCAAAGCTAACACACTGCCACAGATCGCACCTGCGCTTCCCGTGCTGTCCAAGCTGGTCTACTCTCTTGACGACGAGGTCTTGATCGATGCCTGTTGGGCCATCTCCTACCTGTCTGATGGGTCGAACGATAAGATACAGGCCGTTATTGAAGCCGGTATCCCCCGCCGTCTGGTCGAGCTGCTCATGCACGCCTCCACGTCTGTGCAGACTCCTGCGCTGCGCTCTGTTGGAAACATCGTTACAGGTGACGACGTTCAGACCCAGGTCATCATCAACTGCGGCGCCCTGCCCTGCCTGCTCTCTCTCCTGAGCTCCAACAAGGACGGCATCCGGAAGGAGGCGTGTTGGACCATCTCCAACATCACTGCCGGCAACTCGACCCAGATCCAGGCCGTCGTTGACGCTAACATCATCCCGCCTCTGATTCACCTGCTGTCCAACGGTGACCTTAAGACGCGCAAGGAGGCTTGCTGGGCTATCAGCAACGCTACTAGTGGAGGTCTTCAGAAGCCCGACCAGATCCGCTATCTCGTCGCCCAGGGCTGCATCAAGCCCCTGTGTGATCTCCTCGGCTGCCCAGACAACAAGATCATCCAGGTCGCCCTGGACGGCCTCGAGAACATCCTCAAGGTCGGTGATCTGGACAAGCAGGCCGCCGGTGACGCACCTGATGCCATCAACCGTTATGCTCTGTTCATTGAGGAGTGTGGCGGCATGGAGAAGATCCACGAGTGCCAGACCAACGCCAACGAGGAGATCTACATGAAGGCCTATAACATCATTGAGAAGTACTTCTCTGATGAGGACGAGAACGCCGACGACGGCATGGCACAGGCACAGGGCCCCAACGGCACCTTCGGCTTTGGCGCCGGTGCGAATGGTGGTCAGGGCGCGGCGCCTTTCAACTTCTCCAACGCCAATGAGAATGAGTCCATGGAGATGTAGGGACCTCACCATGAACCCATGGTGGACTTGATGTACTAGCAGCCAGATACTGGCCGTCGGCGGACAGACGGAATGTCACCCTCAATTGACGACACAGCACAGGGCCAAGTTGATAACTGCCCCCCCCATTTCACATCACAAAGCGGCGTTGATTGCTTGTTTCCCCCAATCACCTAGGAGAAGACATTTCGCAGACCCCGGCACAGAGAGACGGGGAGGGAAGAATGGAGGGGTTCGGGGAGAGTGGCACAGATGAGAGGAAGATAGAGGTCCTTTGGTAGCTTGAAAGCTCCAGCCTCGTGCATGTTTGGTCAGGGAGAAGCCGCCCAGCTGGGAAGCCTAGGGCCAAGAAGGGCAAGAAAGGCACAGAGGGGCGTCAAGGGTCGATAATGGTAGCTTTAAAGCTCCAACCCTTTGGACACAGGTGAAGGCGTTGAGCCCGGCAAGCACATTTCTATGATGGCCTGGGAGCAACGGGGAATTGGCCCGAGAGGATTATGACTCAGCAGGCACAAGACCAAGAGGACGTCCGCAGGGATTAATCACGAGGCCAAGAGACGGGCTGTCATTGCTAGTGCATGGCAGCCTGAAGGAGTCTGAACAAAACATTGTGTCTCGACCAAGTGGTTGGTGATACAAATGTCAATTCGCCGCACGTAGCCTTTCTAAGGCATCGCAAACACAAGTAGCCCAATAGTTACTCGAAATGCGACCAACCTCACCCCAACCAGTATTTGATGTCTAAGTGACGGCAATGTTGATGGTATCTGTACTAGGGGGCAGCTAAACCTGGCCATCTGTCTAGTCTCCTGACTAGTGGATTCAGGAGAGGTCCCCAAGTTGCTCAAAATATCATATGTGCAACATGTTGGCTTTAATTCGCATATATTATGCTCCATAGTGCTCTTCTCTGTTTCCATTTCTTCACGCACGCCTACCTTGCCCAATTTTGCATCTCTTGGGTTACCAATAAAAGCAGCTTCATTTGTTTGATCCAGAAAAATCGACTGTCCCACGAATCACCGCCTTAACTTGAATCAGCTGGATTCACTTAAAATGGCTCGCAAAAAGGCTTATACGACTTGTTATTTTTGCCACAAGGCTGGGCACATCGAGAAAAAATGCTGGAAGAAAACCCCTGCTTTGAAACCACCAGCAACTTCCTCCGAGGCCCATGCGAAGGGGGGTCCAAATGACAAATTAGGTGAAAGTCATCGGCCATCCCAGCACCACCATTCTTCCCTCGCCTGTAGCCATGATCCCACTGATGATGGCAACTCCGCAGCGGGAGAACAGGAACAACACTGCCCACTTTTCGACTTGCCCAATGAGCTTCTCATGGAAATTGCTGCACTTTTGTGTACACCGGATGAATATGGAAAAGTCTGCTTTGAGTCTATCAAATCGTTTTCTCTGGTTTCAAAACGTGCCCGAAGGGTTACTACGGAGCGTCTACATTTGACTGTCAGCACTTGTTCTCAGGAATTCGGGCAGCTCCTGACAAGAACAGACTTCCTGGGCGAGATCAAGTAAGTCTCAAGACCAACCTGGGCCCATCCAGCACTTTTGCCCTGGGGGCTCTCGGGCATCAATGATGGAATCTTGAGCTAACATTTTCTTGCAGGCAGCTGGTGGTAAAACCTAGGCCCCGCAACACCAGGTCTAATAGAGGCTCATTGAGGTTGAACAGACTTCTAAAACATATGCCTCGCATCGTCGAACTCAGCATTCATGTGGGTGTGCCATTGAGCGGCATTTTGAGACAGGGGCAGCTGCCCACTGTGAGAACACTGAGCGTGCCAATCAATCAGGATGGACAGGCGTACGAGTCGACATCTATAATAAAAGCCTGCCCCGATGTCACCTTGCTCCGTCTGAACCTCACTGGAAGGCCCATTCGGACCGGCGGTGGCGATGGGGTGTCTCGCCCCGGATGTCGAAGAGCATTGGAAGCAGCGGCTTCACTGGGGTCGCTCCGGGCCCTGGAGATTTTTAAATTCGGCAGTGCCTATGGTATTCTGGAAGCGGAAAAATTCGTCAACCTCTTCGGCTACTCTTTTACTGAATCACTTCGCGGTAAGAATGGCTGGGTTCCAGACGATTTGAAAGGCACGTGGAAAAGTCTCCATACATTTGCACTGACGAACGATGATACTAATTCAATGTTTAGTCGTTAGGCAGTACTTTCCCTGTATCTCCAGTCTGGCTCTTTAAGGAAACGTGGGATACGATGATACGAGAGACAGTCATGTCAGGATCTCGGTAGGTCAAAGCCTATGTGTTGTGTTTCAAACGTGAGATTAATCAAAGTTTACACCATCCTAGGATCTCCTTGCCGAATGCGGTGAATTCACGAATCTCAGCAGCCTCACAATGACGACTGAAGCTATTGACGCTTGGCAGTGGGTGGAGGACTATGACAGTCCGTCTTGCTTCTCCTTCGAGAGGCAGGACCAGCACCAGCACCAGGACGAGTTAATCTGGTCAGGCTCAGGAGACGAGAGTTGTGTGTACCCGGCCGTCGGCAAAGCATTCGAAACTTGCGCAAATCTTCGAAAGCTATCTTTCGTTTGGGGGCCGAAGGGGAGGACTTGGGCCACTGTTCGCGGGGCAGGTTCCGAGGACGGCGTGCTCGCGGACCATGTGGTCTTTGAGGAGTGGAAGGTGTGCAAGCTCCCGGGGTACCTGGACTGGGTGCCGGCGAGCATCATCCCCTGCGCGGGCACGACGGCGTGGGCGGCGCTGAAGGGGGTGGGGATCGGGCAGGGTGTTCTAATCCAAGGTGATCGTTGCCCATGCGTTCCATGAATACACAACATTTACTGACAATTGTTTCACAGGTACGGGTGGGGTGAGCATGTTCGCCCTGAAGCTCGCCCAGAGCGCGGGCATGAAAGTCGTGTTGACATCGTCGAGCGATGCGAAGCTGGAGAGGATCAGCCAGCAGTTTGCGAGCCCGTCACTTGTGACGGTGAACCACGCCAGGAACCCCGAATGGCACGAGGAGGTGCTGAGGCTGACCGATGGCATCGGGGTGGACCTCGTGGTCGAGGTCGGCGGCTCTTCGTCCCTGGTCAAGAGCATGAAGTGCACCCGGCGTGGTGGGATAGTCAGCGTGGTCGGGTATCTCAGCAAGCAGGATTCTGGCCAGCTGGCAGAGCTTCTCCCAGTTGTTATCGACAGGAGAGTAGTTGTGAGGTAAGTAAGTAGTTGCCAGCTTTGTGGAGCACGGGGGCTGATCCGGGCACAGGGGCATCAACGCTGGCTCCAAGCTTGACATGGACGACCTCTGTGCTGCCTTGTCAGCTACGCAGATCCAGTTTGACGACATCATTGACTCGATAAAGCCATTTGAAGAAGCCGATGAGGCGATTGAGTATGTGTGGCAGGGCAAGCAGGTCGGCAAGGTCGTACTCCGTCTGTAGATGTTGCCCTATTATCTTGTACATGACCCATGAACCCAACCCCTGGGGACACAATTCGTCACCCAGAAAATCCATGAAGCCATTCTAGCGGAGGGGAGTTGTGTATGTGTAATGGATACACATCCGTATAGGAATCCAATGTGTTTGTCTCCATCACCGCCCCCACATGCCAAGGGATGGGCGTGCCCTTGAGCCGACCCAGGTATCTGCAAATAGAGTCATGCTGCAACTGTATTCTCAATCTGTTGATGCGGTGATATGTATATACATGTCATCAGCCTGTACCTGCATCTCCGCCCATCCAACATCATGTTCGTGTTCTCCTACAATGTGGTGGCACATGAGCAACTTCCGCATCCCTGCGGCCCCGGACCCAGCCAAATGCAGGGCCCCCTCACCTTCGTCGGGGATGGTGCAGCGACAGCTTCGTCTCTGCTTCTTTCCCTGCGCGCACAACACTCTGGTAATACCTCGTTCACGCTTTAAGTCGGCTCGTTGCAATTCTCCTTCCATAGTCGTTCATCTCCCCCTACCCAGGGACGCGTCATTGCCTTCAATCGCTCAGCCTCCACCCCTAGACAAGACCGAGCCGAGATGCTGTCCCGAGCTGGCCGCTTGACCGGCGCGTGGCTGCGGCCAACACTTCGTCTCCGTGGAGATGCAGGCCACATACGCCCCGTTGTGCCTCGACTAGCCGTCTCAGCTACGTCAGTCCTTCCAGTGTCGCCACGTCTCCCACAGTCGGGCTGCCGACATGGCTCTTCAAAGGCGAGGAAACACGCCACGCGCCAGGAGGTGAAGGGCAAAGGCCGTGAAGACGACAAAGATGCCCCCGAACAACCTTCGCAGCCGCCGCCTGGCAACAAGCAGCCGAGCAGTGCCGAACAAATTGGCACACTGGTAAAGGCGGAACCGGCCACCAACCCAAGGGACATTTCTCTCGAGTTCGACAAACTCCACGCGCCAGTCACGTTGTCACAGATTTGGCTCAGAGATGCATGTCAATGCCACCTGTGTGTGAGTGAGTCATCGGGCCAGAAGCGGTTCGCAACCTGCGATATACCGTCCGCCCTCAAGGTCGACAGCCTGAAGGTCCTGGAGGATGGGGGCCTCGAGGTGTCCTGGGCCAACGACCTGGCACTCGGCGGCAACCCGCACGTGTCAACGTACCCGCTCGCTGTGCTACACGACATACTCCTACACCCGGTGCCCTACAAGCGCAACGTATCAGCCCGTGAGATTTGGGACTCCCAGTATTTCGACAAGGACAGTCGGTCGAGGGAGATAAACTACGCGTCCTGGATGGAAGACAGCCTACGTTTTGCTGAGGCTTTCCGCAACCTGCACCACTGGGGGCTGGTCATCATCCGGGACGTGCCTCAGACAGCGTCTGCCGTCGAACAGGTGGCCTCGAGACTTGGCCACCTGCAAGCTACTTTTTACGGGCCGACATGGGACGTTGTCTCCAAGCCACAGGCTGAGAATGTTGCATACACCAACGAGTTTCTCTGCCTCCACCAGGATCTGATGTATTTGAATGAGCCTCCGAGGATACAGATTCTTCACTGCCTCGAGAACGGCTGTGAAGGAGGCGATTCCCTTTTCTCCGACGGACTCCGAGCCGCCTACGACCTGAAGCTTAACAACGAAAGTCATTATCAGACGCTTGCAAACAGCCCCGTAGGTTTTCACTACGCCAAAGGGGGCCATTATTGGCATAATCACCATGAAACCATCACCACTCATTCCAGACGCCGAAACAAGGCAAAGGATACAACTCCAATGAGCGTGCGCTGGTCGCCGCCTTTCCAAGCACCATTCTGGACAGCACTCCGACGAGGCAGCATCACTTCTCCATTTGATCGTCGAGCCGGTTTCCTGGTAGAAAACTGGCAGGAAGCAGCCAAAGTGTTTAGGGACAGCATAGAGGACCCCGTCAATATGGTTCAATTCAGGCTGCAGCCCGGAGACTGTGTCGTCTTCGACAACTGGCGGGTTCTGCACGGGCGGCGTGCTTTTGATACGGGATCCGGCAGGCGCCATCTGAGGGGCACGTACGTTGAGCACCAAGCCCTCAATAGCACGTGGGTACGACTACAGAAAGAAGGCCTGATGTTCTCAGAGGAACCCGATCCTCACATGGAGGAAAAGAGAAGGGCCGGCCGCATCCTGGGGCATTGACGACGATGCTGATGTGGCCGAGCCGTTCGATGGTGCAGGCAAAGCTTGGGATCGCAGTACTGTGACAAAGGAACATGCCTCCGAGTCTGCCGGTTGGTGGCTTGCAGAGCATGGTGTACGTGTGTGTGCAGGCCGGGCCGACAATCATGTCTGGCATCAGGGGGCGTTCCCCAAGAGGGTTTTGGCAGACCACGGTCTGTGTCGTGTTGCAAACAGGCCTCGAAATCAGGGGGTTTTCGAAAGAAGGATGGTTGATTATGGATCTCCAGTCTGGCGTCCCTGTGTTCCGGATCTACGAGGACAGTACCTGGGGCGAATGGCCACTGTTTATAAGTAGAGGTAATTGAAGGACGTTTGTTGGATCAAATTTCTCTCTGCCCAACACAACGAGCAGAGAGTACATGCGCAGATGACTTCCATCAATGGTGGGAAGTAATACTCCGTTGGCGGCTGTCGACAAGGTTGCATCAGAAGCATCAACCCAGCCCATCACCGCACACACATCAACGCCTGGTCCCCGAAATGCTCCTCTACACTGCCCTCCTTCACAAGCATAGACCCGATCCACGTCCTCCCGGCCTCTACCGTGGCCGCTCCAAACTTGACGACCACGCAGCCCCTCACGCTGGCCGCCGACCAGAGGACCTTCTCCCGCCCCTCCATCTCGAGCCTCTCCTCGCGCCAGACCACGTGCGGGTCCCGGGCGCCCTCGTCCTCGGCGAGCTGCCTGGCCTCGTCGGTCCTCCAGTCGCGCGCCCCGATGCGCGGCAGGGCCGCGAACTCGGCCACGAAGAACTCGCCCAGGGACCTGGTCAGCGGCCCGCGCAGGATGAGGGTGCCGAAGATGCCCAAGCCGTGCATCGTGGACCTGAGGCCCCCCGCCGCCGCCGAGAGGGACGCCCTGCCGTCGAGCTTGACGGCGTCGCGGACGAGGAGCCTGCCGCTGCTGCTGCTCTGCGGGGCCGTCGTGCTGGTGGTTGTGGTGGTTGCAGCAGCGCCGGATGACCACCACACCTCGTTGCGCCCGATCCACTTGACCAGGTCCCAGTCCTCGCCGCGGGCGCTGCGGCCCTGCGTCACCCAGTCCAGTAGGAACAGCGATGCTCCTGGGGCCCTGAGGCGGAAGATTTGCGTCTGCTCGTAGACGCTCTCGGCGAAGGGCTGGACCGGGTCCGGGAGCAGGCACAGGGCCGCGCCGTCCTCGACTGCCACGTTCAGCGTCTGGCGGGTGACGATGTCCGGGGTGGCCGACTTGAAGATCTTGGTGTGGCCCTGGGTGACGATGCTGAGGCGGGCATCGCGTTGCACCTGGACGGCCAGGTTGACCGTGTCCCCGCCTACGAGGCCGCCGCCGTAGGAGAGGAGAAAGACGAGGACGGATTTGTCCTGTTGGTGATTTCGGGGAGGCGAGATGAGTTTGAGGGGGTACTGGTAAGTGATGCCCTCGAGGTGCGAGTGGCCATTGGGCAGCCGCTTTACGGTGATTGTTCCATCTCCAGGAGCAGAGGCGGAGGCAGGGAACGGCGAGTTCATGGCGGTCTTATCATGGTCATCTTGATATATCCGATGCAATCAGTGAGAAAGTCAATAGGTAGAGGTGGGCAGGGGTTGAAGAGACCAATATTGGGCAGTTGATGATGTTCAAGACCAAGGAAATAGAGTAGAGACTTGTGAGTGCGTTGAGGACATGCAATACGTTGAAAAGCTCTTTTGGGACGAGGGCGGTATATAAGACATGAGGTCTGATAACCGTATGGGATGAGACTGAATTTCTATAATGCAGATACCATAATATTAGTCAATAAGTAGCCCAATTCGGTACCTAGGTACCCAGTAGTCGGGCCACTAAGAGCTACCCCTGCAGCCCGGTACCTTGCTGTCTCATCGATAACTATTTTTCGGTGCTGCGTCGCCGTCCCCCACCAGACTTTCTTCCTCCTCCCAAACTCGACTGGCATTGATGACTCTTCGGCGAAACCATGAAATGACAACGACTGCCTAGGTCCATTCCCACCCGACCATTCGCTGTCTCAGCACCAACGCCACCGCCCAAGGAACCGACATAGCACAGCACAACGAATATGGCCCCAGAAGGCCGTGGTGCCCCACGCGGCAGGGGCCGTGGCAGAGGTGGCCGAGGTCGTGGTCGCGGAGGAGCCTCTGCTGCTCCAAGCGGTGGTTCTCAGGGCTCAGAGGCCGTGAATGCACCTCCAGCTGCACCTCAAGCCTCAGAAACGAAGACGCCGGCCCAGGACAACGCCGCCGATCCCTCCGCCTCCCAAGCAGCCCCAACTCCCGGCGCCAGCGCAACAAGACCAGCACCAACAGCAAGGCCAGCAGCTGCGACCCGAGGAAGCGGTTCCGGATTTGGAAAGTTCCTCCCCAGAGCTGTGCGGCGGTCACAATTGGACAGAGAGGCGATCGCGCAAAAGGAGACTCAGAAGCTCGAGGACAAGGCGGCGCAGGATGCGCGCATGAAACGCGCAGCACGGGGCCGGGGTGGGAGGCGTGCGCGAGGTGGTCCCGCGGGCGGTTTCCAAGACCGTGTTATTAGGGGTGGCGCTGGTGGTTTTGGGTCGATGATTGAAGCTACTAGTTCTCGTGAGTCTTTGAAGAGTTGCTGATATAATATACAAGATAAGTTACTGACAACAACCAGGAGGAGGATCGAGCGGGTTCGGACGATTGTACGACTACGGCGGTGGAGGTGGTGGAGGAGGCGGCGGCTCAGGTGGCCGCGGCTGGTCCGGCGGCGTCAAATCAGAAGGAGGCAAGGGTTTCAGCGGCGAGTCGAGCCGGCCAACCGGCAGGCGCATGAACACGGATAAAATCGTCGAATACGTTGTCATCGAGGATGAGGAGGAGCAAGTAAAGAGCAAGGAGGGCACGCCAGTACTACTGCCCAAGGGAATGCAACGCCAAGAACCCAAGGAACCGGATCAACCAGAGGTTGCTACTGCAGAGGAAGTCGAAGCCGCGGACAGGGGAGAGGCCGTGGTAACCGTCTCGTCAGGCGACGTCTCGGAAGACGAGGACATATTCTTGAACGAAGATGACGTGGAGATGAAAGACGACGACCGGAAGTGGCCTGGCGCGAAACCGAATCGTCGCGTTAAGATCGAAGGCGAGGAGGTCAACGAGATCGATACTCTCACGACGAAACGGGCGATCAAGAAGGCAGAGGAGAAGGCGAAAGCACTCAAGAAGAAGTACCAGGACCCCGAGGACCAGCTTGCCGCCGAGAATCTGGCTTTCCAACGACGGTTGTTCGGCGTCTCGAGCGGAGAAGAAGACGACGATTCAGATGTCCAAGAGACCAAGCCCCCTCGGAAACCCGCAATCATCGACGGCAACCTCTACATGTTCCAATTCCCTCCTCTCCTACCACCACTTCACACCGTCGAGCGGACACAACAGTCACAAGGCCCCGTTAAAGACGAGCCCAGCGACGACGTGGTCATGCTCGACGCCCCAGCCCACAACTCCGACAATCCGGTCGACCTCACCGCAAACGACGACGCCAAAATCAAGCAAGAAGAGGGCGCCGATGGCAAGGCGCCGCGGGAGCCAGAGGACCAGCCGGAAGGATTCGTCGGCCGGCTCATTATCCGCAAGTCGGGCAAGATGCAGATCGACTACGGCGGCATGCTGTTCGACTGCGAGTCGGGCATTCCCGTCGAGTTCCTGCGCACGGCCGTTCTCACCGAGCTGGACGACGAGAAGAAGCCCGACGGCTACGCGGGCACCGCCTACGGCATGGGCCAGATCACGGGCAAGTTCGTCGCGGTGCCCAAGTGGAGCGACGAGGACGAGTGGAACGTCGGCCCGGACGAGCTCCCGCCCAACGGCATCGGCGCGGCCGAGGAGGACGGCGCGGCGGCTTAGGAAGCCGACCGCGCCGATGCCTCCTTACGGCTACGGTATGGAACGAGCTTTATGGAAAAGAAGCCGCGCACGAGGTTGGCCTATAGGGCGTCCCAGGAGAACATTCAGCCGCGTTATCCACGCCGTCGGCGCTGACGATGGTGGCTATCAGCCTACAGTGGTTCTGGGTAATAAGGAGAAGAAGCGTGCTTTACAGTCTTCGCGGAAGAGCTGGTTGGGTTCAGAACCGGGCTGTCCAGAGGGCAATCAGGTTACCGAGGAAGACAATTTGCATCGAGCAGGCGTTGGGTTAGGCTGTATAGAAGCCCAGGATATGGACAGGTGCATGGCCGGGAAGGTGTACTGTTTTGTAGAGGAAGCAACGCGGCCCCAGGGCAACGCCGAAAATGAAACTCGTCCATGAACAATGATGACCTTTGTTGGTCAAACTGCAATGTGAGAATCGAGATGTGAATTCGGGACGGATATCATGTTCGGTAGGCATTTCGAACCTTTGCCCTCCCTTCTCAATACGACAGCTTTACCTGCGACACGAGCGACAAAGAGCGTCATGTATCCTTTCCAGTTAGGTCCATGCCATGCTCTAGGGGAACGAACGGGTGCATGCCTAGTCTGTCTTGATTCAACCACACCAGCTTGGGACAAGCGGGTCTGAATTATACAAGACGGTGTTATGAAAAGATTATTGATCATCCCAAGAAATCGATTCAAGATCATGTGGTCTAATTTAAGGTATCAATTCGTCCCATTCGCTCACATCCCACATCCCACATGCCATAAATCTAAAAATCAAAGCCCGTTCTCGGCCTTGAACTTATCCCAGCTCTCGTTGAGCGTGGAGAACACCGTCGCGGCGATCATGCGCGCCTCGACACTCGCGTCTTGCGCCAGCTGTAGAAAAGGAAAAGTCAGCACATTTCTCTCTTCGATTTGGAGTCCCGGACCATTGGGCGGGGGACGCCCTCTGCTAACTCACCTTGTCAGGATGCGTCTTGGCGATGGCCTTCATGTACACAACCTTGACGCGGTTGGCCATGACGAGCTCGTGCAGCCCAACCTTCTTCCACCCACTGCCCTCCCACAGCACCTGGTCCAGGCTCGCCAGCAAGGCGCGCAGGTTCTCCCTCTTGCCGTCGCGCCACGCGGCTATGCGCGCGTCCACCTGGTCCGACAGCGCAAACTTCTCCGCGTCAGCAGCCTCGGCGGCCTTGTTGGACTCCTGCAGCCGGGTGACGGCCTCCGAGTCCTTGGCCGGTGCCGTGGGCCTCGGTCGTGGTGGTGCTCGGGAGGCTGCTGGCTTGGCGGGCTTGGAGGCGGGCTTGGGCTTCGGTGCGAGAGCCTTTTGACACCTCTGGCGTCCGGCGATGGCGGTGGGACCGCCGACTCCGCTCTCGACGCAGCTCTGCCAGACCACGCCGGCATCGGCCCACCTTTCCATCTGCTCTAGGGCCTCAGCCTTGCGGGTGAGGGCCTTGCCGTACAGATCCTTCATGTCTCGCTTGTCGCCTGTTTCGTCCTGAAGCGGGATGTTCTCGCCCTCGCCCTTGCCGGGGCCGATCAGCTCAAGGGCTGCGTCGGCATCAGTAACCGCTTGTCTCGGCTCACCAGTCTTGAGGGCAGTCAAGGCGCGGTTGCACAGAATCACAATCGCCAACGGGTGAGTCTGCGGGATTGCGGAGAGAGAAGATGAGTATGATGCGTGGGCTGCCGCGTAGTCTCCCCTCTTGAAGTGTGCAGTACCATCACTGCGGTGGCGCGTGGACGACTGGAGTGCTGAAGGGTCTAGGTGAGGCACCTGGCGAGCAGGCCTTGGAGTCGGTGCTTTGCGTGGAGGCTGCGAGACAGCAGCAGGTCTAGGTGAGGGCTGCTGAGACCGAGTAGGCAGATTCCGTGACGGTGCTTGTGAACTGAACAAATCCGGCTCTTCTGTGAATGGTTTGGGTTCTGTGGGCGGCTGAGGTGTTGTCTTCTTCCTTCTTGCCGGGCTGACGTAGGCCTGCGAACCTTGCTCTTCGATAGTCTGCTTGCTGAGCCGGCTCTTGGGATCGAGAAAAGAGGGCTGCTGGTTTTGCTGCCACTTGGGGCCAGGCGTGCTCCTGGACGAGCTCGCTGACAATGCGGGTGACTGATCCCGAGACGAGTTTCTCTGAGGCTCTGGCCGAGACGGCTGAGCTGGTCTGCGAGACTGCCTGTCCGGTCGTGCGCCCGAGTCGAGCATCATTGCTTCGTCGGTGACATCCACTGGTCGTTCTCGACCCTCTCTCTCCGCCGTCATCTCCTGCTGCGCCGACCTCATCCACTTGGGTTGGCTGGGATCAGCAGGACCTTCTTGGAATTCGGCCATAGCTTTCTGAACCTTCTTTTGGCCAACACTCCAGAACTTGTTTGCGCTTTTGAGCAGGTTACTACCAACTGCAGCAGCCGTCTTTGCGAGATCCGCATCAGCGGCGGCTGGAGATCGATTGTCCCGCCGACTGGGCCTCTCCTCGCTCGCCCAAGCAGGGCTCCCGTTCCGGGCGCGACTTGGAGACCTGTCATCACTGATGCCCGCCGAGGCACCTCGCTGAGTCTTCTCTCTGGCCTTCTGGTGAGCATCGTTGAGCAGGAAGCTGACAGCTGCCTGCACATTTAGACCCTGGCCGCTCTCTGTCAAGCCTCTCGCGGCATCCTCAGGAGAAAACCCCATTTCCATGATCTGAGCGATTGCCTTGTCGAATGGGTCGTTCCCCTGTGGCCGTCCTTGTGGTCTTTCTTGGTGTCTCGGCGCCTCGTCCTCGCTGGAACTCGAATCCGAGTCCTCTATGGGTTTCCCTGGCTCTGGTTCCTGTTTCGCTGGTATTTTTTGCCTTTGGGCTTCCTGCTTCTTGCGCACTTCATCGACCGGCCTCCCAAGATCCCCAAGCAAATCATCAAGTTCATCGTCATTTCCCCCAGTGGCGGGGGCGGGAGCACCAGAAGCTGCTGGTACAGGCTTGGCTTGAAGCTGGTTCAGCCCGAACGGATCGTCGTCGTCGATGGCAAGGTTACCATTGTTTCCGTTGGATGTCGGCGCGGGTTGGCTCCAGGCACTCGGACTGCTTAGATCTAGAGCCGGCGTTGATTTGCCCGATGCGGGAGGGGGGTAGTGGCTGGCGTTGTCGACTTTCGTATCCTTGTTGAACGCGGCGAAGAGATCATCGTCGGATCCTGGTGGCGCCTTCTGCGCGGAAGCGTTGAGCCCGGGCGCGTGCAAAGCTGGTGACGCCGTTCGCGATGCGGCCCCTGACGAGGAACCCTGGCCCAGGGCGTCCCAGAACTGGCCGTCGCCGTAAGCAGCGCTCTGCTGCTGCTTCCTCTCCTGTAGCTTCTTCAATTTCTCAGCCTCGAGTTGCTTCTGGCGCTCGGCCAGGCTCATCTTTGCGGTGCTCTTGGAGGAGGTCGTGGCCATGAGGTTGCTGAAGGCATCGTGGGCGGGCTTTGTGGGGGCGGAGGCGGGGGCTTTGGAGCCAGCGGCGGAAAGTTGGCCAGACGCGTGCGAGGACAGAGGAGTATTTCGGCCGGAGTTGACGGGGGACGGGGTCGGCTGGAGAGAGGGAAAGGAGGCGAATGCGCTCGACGAGTTCATGGGTGGCTTCTTCTGGTTGGAGGTGGACGAGGTCGAGTTGGACCAGTCCATGCCGGCTAGATCGTCCATTTTGGGTGGTTGTGGATGGCGGGGGAGGGAATTCTAGGGGATCTTGTTGATTCTGTAACCTCTGAACATGTCATATATCGCGGGAGGTGAGCTGTGATGCACACATGAAGGAGTGGCACGCGGATATCTGGGGTTGACGGCGAGGGTTAAGGACGCAAGAAAACGACCAATTACTGACCGTACTGAGCGTCGTGCGTATGGCGCGGCGGGCCACGTTAAAGAGGCCTAGCTCCCCTTGATGTGGCTCGTGCTGTATTACATAACGGGCGCAGTACGGTGGCTCGGCCCAGACAAAAAAGAGCGCACTCACAAACTGCTCTGCAAAAGCTACATCAAATATCCCATCACCAAAGTTTCAATTGAACTCTTAAATAACTTATCAATCAATATTTAAGCCCAGCTATCAATATAGCTAGTTTATGGCTTATTTAAATATTCTTTTGAAAAGAAACGAGGCTGTTAAGTTGATGGGTTGTGGTAGCGGGTGACAAGTTTTGGGGAAGGTGACTTAATGTGAGTGCGCTCTATTTTGTCTGGGCCGAGGGTGGATACCAGGGTACCTGATTGTGGTCGTACACACAGTACCTAAGTACATATACGAGCCAAGCCTGTCACTGGGAAAAAGATCTCAGAGTGACACCACATGGACATTGCCGATGCCGATGCCCAATGATGTCTGACTTCGGGGTGGCTGTTTTCTCTGCTCATGGTCAGCACGAGATTTGGTGAGGCGTGGCGCTCTCAGAGCAGGCAATAGTATGATCCCGTGCGGCAGGGCGCTCGCATGCGCAAGTAGTTCCAATGAACGGACTCTCCGTGGCAAACCTTGTTGGACAGACAGACACGATCGATTTCCAGACTCGCGCCGAAACGACGGCTGTTAGCTATCCTTCTGCTGGCTGCTTATACTGTGGCTACCGGGAAATGATACATGTACAGTCCCCAGTGCCAATCTCAGCGTCCCTGGTGGACCAACAGCTACCTCTCTCACACCTCTCACAAACAAAGGGCCAAAGCACTAAGCAATGAGTAGACCACGATGACAGACTACGAATTTAGGTGTGCAGGCTATCGTCAGTTTGGACTAGGCCAGCTAGATACCCGGGTTAACTGTCAAATTCCACGAGTTCCATCAGCCCATTCTCCAGGGACCGTCGGGCCCCACTCCTGACTGATCCCGCCATTCCATGCTGGATGAGATGATCCACCTGGGCATGTCAGCCCTGTAGCCCAATCCCCCCTGTCCAGCTGTCTTGACGGCCCTGACGGGCCCAAGATGTTTCCAAGGTTTCCTTTCAGTGGGGTCTCGGGCCTAGGGCCCTCTGTTTGCAGCCCTCAGGTTGCAGGGTCGGGGCCCTGGAAGCTCTGGGGTACCCGCCCCCTGCCGACCCAGCAAAGACGCCTAATTTAAGAAGGTTACGGGACATGCAGTCACAACATCCTGCGTCACAGTTGGGAGTCTTACTCCTGCTCCCGCTCTATGCTCCAACCTTCGCTCTCGCCCGACGGCTCACAACACCAACCAGACGATCAACGCCACTGCACAACGGGACCACATAAAGGAGTCTTTGATCTTCCCAAGCAGATGGCCTATTGATTCCTCCCATTATCCCATTCCACCGCCCCTTCCCCCCCCCCCCACCTCTCTCAACTCCACCGCCCAATCTGCTTGGTCTCGTGCCTCCCGAGCGCGCAGAACGTCCTGCGCACACGACAAGAATACGATGTGTCGCTTTCTGGTAAGCACCTCTCGCCCGGGCTGCAGCGCTGCACAACCGCCATGAACTCTGCCGGCCCAAGCTAACGAGCCACTCCGTCAATCCAACAGGTCTACAAGGGAAGTGACGAGATCCTGCTCTCCAAGCTTATCCTCGAACCGTGCCACTCCATCCTCAGACAGAGCTTCGACTCTCGCCTTCGACTAGTATGTCCCCCATGAGCCTTGTCTTACCTGGCGAGCCGACCTCGCTTCCCGAATTGCTTCTTTGTTTCCCGTCACAAAGCACGTCATCCCTCCCTGCCCCTCTCCTAACCCTCCGTTCACCGTCTTCAACCACACCTCTCGGCCGCGCGTGTCACATTAACTCACATCTTTGACGTAGGATACGAGGCGCGGAGCAAACAATGCCGATGGCTTCGGCATAGGCTACTACACCAGCCCCAAGCTGGGCGCCGAACCCTGCATCTTCACCTCGACTACACCCGCCTGGAACGACCCGAACCTGCAGCGAATCGCCTCAAAAACCGCATCGAACCTCATATTTGCGCATGTGCGAGCCACCACCGAAGGCTCCACCTCCCCAGACAACTGCCACCCCTTCGAACATGGCAGCCTCATGTGGATGCACAACGGTGGACTCGGCGGCTGGAAGCACATCAAGCGCAGACTGGCTGAACGTCTCGCCGATAAATGGTACCTAGGTGTCAGGGGAGGTACCGACAGCGAATGGGCCTTCGCCCTGTTCCTCGACACCCTCGAGCGCATGGGTGTCGACCCCAGCTCTTCTCCGAAGAAGGGCTTCGGTCCCATGGTGTTGAGGAAAGCCATGTTGAAGACCATCGCGCAGATCAACGACCTGATCGACCAGATACCGGAGAGCACCCTGCACAGCGAGAACATCGACACGCGAAGCTTGCTCAACTTCTGCGTCTCCGACGGGCACAGCATCATCTGCACCAGATACATCAACAGCTCCACCGATGAGGCCGCTAGTCTGTACTATTCCTCGGGCACCCAGTGGGAGACGAGACAGCATGATGACAACGAGAATTACCAAATGAAGAGACGCGATAAGGGCGCCGATGTGGTTCTCGTCTCTAGCGAGCCTCTGACGTTTGAGAGAGGTCAGCCAAACCCCATCCGCAACTCGATGGTAGAAAGTCACTCACTGACCGTGCTGCAGAAAACTGGATCAACGTTCCCACCAACTCCATCTTGACCATCCATGACCAGACCGCTTTCGTCCAGCCGATAATAGACCAATTCCATCATAAAGACCCCTGGCATCGCCGATCGGCTGGCTTCGTGCAAAGCAAAGGCCTTGCCGCGAACGAAAAGACCCCCACGCCGCTGCCCATGCCCAACCCGGCGGTGGTCGCCCCTGAGGGCAACTTACAGGCGGAGATGTTTCACAAAAGGGCCAACCTGGGACCAACAATACCGTTCAGTTTGATGAGGTCGATCACCCCCCAGATCTCGAGGACAACACCTTCTGAGGCACCCAACAGCGTTGTCGCCGCATCACCTCGGCCTTCTTTGTCAACCGTGGATACTAGCAAAAGCACAGATTTCAGAACAGTGACTGGGCCACCAGTCAGCAGACAGGCATCTACCTCGAATCCACCGGCGCTGGGCAACATCAAGAAGAAGAGGATGTCGCTCAGCAACCTTGACCAGCTGCAAAGCCCGTCTCCGTCGTCGGAAACAGAGCCACCGACCCCGATGAGCCCGGTAGACAGGACATCGTATGGGGACCCAAATAAAATTGCGCAATACTTTCCAGAGCTTACCCTTTCGCCTTGAGGACCGGACAGTGGCTTCCGAGATCAGGTGTCCTATTTCTTTTTTTTCTTCTTCCTCCCCAGGGGTTAAATTCAAGATTAGACTGGTCCGTCCAAGTATAAGGAAAAGCTCGAGAGCTCGTTCCTTTTCGGATCAAGTAAGGCGCTCAGGAGTACTAAAGCATTATGAGGGAGGCAATGCTTGAGGTTGCATTTAGGCTTGTATCATTGCACTTAGACGGTAGTCCAGTACTCCAGATTCATAGAGGATTGCTTTCAATATTGGACTAGGCAGGTATATATTCTCATTCTCACTCACATTTATCGTGACCTGTCATTCTATTCAATCTGTGCGATGCCCCCTATGTCAGAAGGATTCCTGTGCTGAAAATTACGACAATAAATAATGGGAATGAAAGGCGGGGGATCTCATGACAGAAATCGCCAGGATAAGCAAGAAATTCATGGAAGGGTGTAGCGTGCATGGCTTGGTGTGGCGTGCCAATCGGGCCGTGAGTCGGAACTTCGGGAGTCGGGAGACGTCAAGATAAGCGGATCTCAGCGGAGGTCCGCCCCGGGCGCTAGCCTCCGATGAGCGCCGGCCCCAATTCCTCAGCTGCCGTCGTCTCTCGATTGCCTGCCTTGTGCGACTCAAAGCCTATCATTTTTGACTCAGTGAACTTGAAGCAGGCAGCTGCATCTTGGGGTCTGTGGCTCGTTTTTCTGGAAATGCGAATTGGCAGTTGGACTGGATCAACAACAAATAACCATTCCGTGTGAGCGCAGTTCTGACTTAAAACAGCCACTTTTCAGGGTCTAGCACTCAAACTCTGGCAGGACGTGCTGTGTGCCATACCGCCACTCAGCCAGCCATGACGGAGTCTCTGAAGAGAACAGAATACTACTACGGCAAAGACAACGTCCTGCAAAATGTCGCCGTCTGGGAGTTCCCGGAAGACAAGGTCGCAGCGCCAGCTCCGGGGACAACCAAGTACTGGCTCGTGTGAGTGGGCTCCTCCTCGATGACACCCCGGTCCAACACGCGCCCTCCCCCCCTCTAAGGAATCAAGACTGACACAAGTCCGCCCACAAATAAAGATTCATCCACGGCGGCGCCTGGCGCGACCCGAGGAGCACCTTCAGCGAGGCCGAGCCGACCATCAACGCGCTGCTAGACCCCTCCTCGCAGTGGCACATGCCCGATGCGCCCCCCCGTGTCGCCGGCTTCGCCTCCCTCAACTACCGCCTCTCGCCCCACCCGTCCTTCGCCCAGGACGCCGCCACGACGCCCTCGTTCGCGGCGCGCACGGCCCGCCACCCGGACCACCTGGACGACGTGGTGTCCGGGCTGCGCTTCCTGCAGCGGCGGCTCGGCTTCGGCGGTGGCGGCAGCGACTACGTGCTGTTCGGACACTCGGCCGGCGCGTCTCTCGCGTACCAGGCGCTGCTGGGGCCGGCCTGCCGAAGCGAGGGGCTCGACGACGTCGCGCTCCCGGCGGTGGTGGGGTTTGAGGGCATCTACGACCTGGTCGGGCTCGACGGACGCATGGGCGGCGGGTACGCTGGCTTCATCGAGGCGGCGTTCGGGACGGACCGGTCCGCCTGGCGGGACGCGAGCCCGGCGACGGCCGCGGGGAGCTTCGGGGCCTGGGCGGGGCAGGCTGGGCCCCGGCTGGCCGTGCTGGCGCACTCGGCTGATGACGAGCTGGTAGATATGCCTGAGGTCGAGACCATGGAGCGGAGGCTGAGAGTGGACGGTGTGCGGGATGTCCTGGTATTTCGGGACTTGAAGGGTGGCCACTTTGATGTGTTGAATGATGGGAGCTTTGCGAGGGTGTTGGTCAAGACTCTCGAGGAGCTGGGGAGGCTGAAAGCTTAGAGAAGGGAGTATGAAAGAGCCTGGACATGTGGTTTTCCAGGATACTTATTCAGCTGAATAGGATAGGCTGCTGCAAGTATGGGCCTCGTGAGGTTGGACCATCAGCAGTGTATCCCACCCACTGACAGTTCTGTCACTGTGTAGATACCATGAAACGGATTCCTCGCAATGGGAGCCTCGCATCATGCAGCCCTTCGAGTCATGTCTTGCCATTGTATGAAACACCATGTGATCATTGCAATGCTACAAACGTTGGCCAAGGTTCCTAGGTTTCTGTCTCAAAGACAAAATGCTCTATCTCACCCGACAGCGGCCTCGTTGCCTCGTCTCACTAAATCATTCGGACCATTATCTTTTGGAAAAAATCAATCTTGTGTGATTGATTGAGATTGTACAAACTCATCCCTCTATGTGCTGACAGATGATACTCACCCCTATGATTAGTGCACCCAGGTGCTCATGTGTGAGACCATCTGCTCGTGTTTAACGAGTTCCGTAAAATCGCCCTCACTCGTGGATAAGCCATCGCAAAGTTAAGAGATTTGAAGGCTGCGGATGCTTTTGAAAGCAAAAACCGCCCATGTTGTCAGAAAATTTGAACGACCGCATATCAGCCACATATGCGTTGTTCATGATGATACTGTCCGGACCTTCAAGTCTACTCGTCTCTGAAGTCAGAAAGCCAAGACAATTCAGCACTTGAATCTCAGTGGGCGGATGACGCCGAGTCCCCGGGGATAAACAAGACATCATCAACGTCAGGGCCGGACCAGCTCGAGTGCCTGTTACACCTTCCAGAGCCTCAAATAACTCTCGACGGCTGCTGCCCACCAATGAACTCTGAAGCCCAAGGACGGCGCCACGTGTATATGGGTAGAATAGGAGACCATGCAGTGTGTGAGACGAGCACCGGACATTGCCGAGCCGTGACAATGTTCGAATACATGATCCCTCCCAGTCTCACCAGCGTCCCAAGCAGTTAAGACAAGAAGCATCTGCTCGGCGCATGAGATGGCGAAGTGAACGAAGACCTGACCACACTTGATCGTCTGATCGGGATACGGCGGCTTTGGACTCTGCGTAGTATCGAGTACGGGCACATATCCCATGCTGAGCGATGATGCGAGACTGCGACGTCGGGGGAGGAGTGGCCGACCGGTGTTACCGCATGCTCACTGTCGGACAAGATTTTGCACGCGCCCATGGGGCGTCTCGGCCGCGGGGTGGGATGGGACGGTCGAGACCACGCCCACGATGAGTCGAGAGGGAGAAGCAGCCCTAGGTATGGTATCTATACAGACGGTGCTCGCCCGAGTGCAGGCCACAGCTGAACCCTTGTGATCTGCCGGCGCCGTCCAAAGAAACAGGGAGAAGAGAGAAACATGGATGCAAGACCGAATACATGCAGTAGTCTTCATCGATACAACATACCAGGGTTACATTATTCCACACTCTGCATTGCCGGGCCGCTGATGTACTTCGCATGACATGTGGGGTAAAACAGGAAAACCCCCAAGCTGGCCCCCTCCCTCCAACCAACGTCTCTCCCTCCCGGCAAGCCGCAACAAGGCACGCCCCAGCCTTTCCCCAAAAATATAAACCGAGCAATTTTAAACTTTGCGGTCTAGCCCAGAAGGGGACCACGAGCAGGGATCGTAATTGGTCTTGGCACACGCCGCCTTCCCCCACCCCCACCCCACCATGCCTCTTTCCCTCTTCATTTTTGCTTTGCGTCGCCTGCGGCAGGTGCCGTCGATTCCCGCGTCAGGGATGGTAATTTGCTACTATTAATGGAGCCCTAGGAGGGGGGGGAGGGGGGTTGTTAGTCATCGGTCGGGCTCACTGCCCAGGCGGGCACGCAGACAAGAGGGCAGCGCGGCCACCGTTGGGCGTGGATCTGCACCACACATTGACATAAATGTATGTGCATATATGCAACTGCTCGGCTCTTTCTTTGGCTTGTTAGAGGTCAGGCCACATGCCAGGGATTACATCGCATCCAATCGTTACTTTATTTTGCCCATAGCTCGGGGTTGCAGGTGGTATGATCAATCCTACCGAAGACACAAGAGAACCCAGAACCAATCTTCCGCCCCGGGTCCTGATCCTTTATTAACTTACCTCACACCACAGAGATCCCGGGGGGCGAGTAGGGATCTGAGAGCCCAGAGGCCGACAGGGGGCTGACGCAAAACGCTTGGAAACAGCCGGGGGTGGGGGTCTGCGACAAGCGGCATGTCAACGTCGCAGGCAGATGAGGATCGCATGCTCTTGCGGCGGTGAGGGCAACTGCGCAATGCGCCCGACACCAACCACCCAGCGAGACATTTGAACCAGCGCCTACTGTAGGAGTGGCCTAGGTAGCCAAGTAAACAGCCATCAATCATTATCACGCGAGAAGCAGCCGCCATGATTTGAAGTGTGATTCGTATTTGCCCCGGCTAGAGTGCTCGACCTCCCTGGGGGTAAGCTCACAGTTTGTTGATGTTGTAGTTTGTGGTTTCAATTCGCCGACATATTGCGCGCCGTCAGTCCAGAAAAGGAGATGGAAAGCCAGAAAACAAAAACAAAAAAAGACAAATAAGCCAGTTTGATACAACAATGCCCGCCGCCCATAACAAGGAAATGTTTGCAAGGAAAAGGGGATCTCCAAGGGAGATGTTCCCGACTCTGATCAAGGTTGATCGATTTCATCGCAGAGCGCTGAAAGCAGTTTTCTCCGTTCCGACAAGGCCAGCAGCAGCCAGAATCCAGAAGCCAGCAAGGGCAGTCTCTGTCGCTTGACCGCCACCCGCAGGGCTGCCAACACACCGCCCATGGCCCGAGCATTGCCATCACAGCGCTCGCTTCTCCACTTCAATTTTGGCAGATCCACTTTCCCGAACCCCTGGAACATCTTCATCCTCGAATCTCCAGCTGCGCCCCGGACGGCCCGGGTCCAGCCAAAAGCTTCTGGAAGCCTCGCCGATTTTGGTCAGGTAAAGATGACTGTGTGGTAGCAGCATTGTGTAAAAGCCAGCCCCCACCCCCACACACTGACCGAGCCCGACCCAAGACAGGAAAAGGGAAAAAAAGGAAAAGAGGACAAGTGCACGCACGCCATATCGACAAGACAGGAACCTTCGATGAAAAAAATATGGCCAACAACGCCTGAATCCCGCCGGGTATAGTAAAGGAGTGTGACGACGGCAGCTGTTGAAGCCGTCAAGTTGTTCGCTGAGCGCTGTATGCTTAGGAAGTCTCCAGCCGTGAGGCCCCAGACAATAGACACGATAGATCCGTACAAGCACTTTTCAGTCCCATCCCGTTAATTGTGTGCTCCCCTGCCTCCTGCCGTTCGTCCACAAAACTGCGTACGCGGTTAGAGGCGTCGTCGTTAGTCCCGCCGTGAGAGCGGAGCTCTGTACCGCTGCGTTTTTCGAAGTCGTCCAAGATGTATGGAACAAAGGTGAGTGTTCAGCAGTCGGGTGGCAGTACGTAGGAGGACAGCGGACGCCAGCGGCCTGGCTACCTCTTCCGCTTCTTATTCTTGTCCGCAGAGCTAGCGGCAGTCATTGCAACCATGGCCGTGGCAATCGGCGCGGCAGGCAGCAAGGGATTGGCGGGCGCCGGCATCTCCTCCTTGCCGCCGACGACGGGCACGCCCATGTGTCGACCGTAGCGACCCTTCCGGCCGTTGCCCTCGTCTTCGCTGATGCACAACTCGGCGGGAATCCCAGCATCGCGGCATCTGCCGCAAGGGCGCTGTCTGTCGCACCCCTTCTTGCTCTTCCGGCAGCGCTGGCATCGCGGCTTCGTAGAGAGATCGGGGTGGTCCTCGTCACCCTGCACGCTGCTGGCAGCACCTGCGTTGGACACAATGGACGGCTTGCGGGATGCCGGTAGAGAGGTGGGAGACATCGGGCCGTTGGGGATGATGCTGCCAGATTTCTTGGCCTTGGCGCCGGAAGCAGGCTTGGTGGGCTTGCTTGCCTTCGCGGTCTTTGGCTTCACATTGGTGGACTGAGATCGAGGCTTCTGGCCGTTGGGCAACTTTGGCGCCTTCAGCTTGGGGGCACTCATTGTGCCCTCTCCGCCGTCGGAATAGACATCCTCGTCTTCGCTCGGCTCGAACTCGGCGTTGGCAGGGCTGAAATGGGTTTCGGTGGTGGGATATATCTTCTTGCTGGTGCCAACCGCGTCGAGCTTTTGCTTCCGCACGGGCTGCTTCTCGCCGTCGCTCTCGCTGTCACCATCGCTAGTGGCGCCAGTCGAGGAAGCTGCGTCCGCATTGCGGCTAAAGGTATCGTCAAGTGTAGAGGCAGAAGTACGACCATGGGAAATGTTGGAGATATCGCCGAGACGCATCAATTGGATGGCCACGTCCTTGTCCTCTTCCGACATGCAGCTGCCGACGGTGGGGTCTGGCGTCGGCAAGATGCCCATGTTCGGGCCGATGCCCAAGGCATTAGAGTAGCCAATTGTGCTCCTCGCACGGCGAGTATCGGTGACAGGAGTGGCATACATGCCAACACCATTGTAGCCGGGTGTATAACTTTGCGGCGACTGCAGCAGCCGAGGGTTGGTAAAGGGATTCTGACCAGGTTGTACGAACGGAAGGGTCGCACGGTTGTGCTCAATGCGGCGAGCTGGAGAGACTGAAGGGTTGGATAGGGCAGCAGGCATCTGAGGAGGTGCGAAAAGGGGCAGCTCCTGTGGTTGCTGCTGTTAGCGACGAGCTCCGAGCAAGCTTCGACAGCATCGAAGACGCAAGCGATTGACTTACAGAGCTCTCAAACTTGGCTCGCTTGCGACGGCCGCCTTCGACAATGTTGTCGAGGCTGATCTCGGTGCTGCCGATCTGCTCCTTGGACTTGCCCGAGGAGGAGCCCGGGGCATTATCGCCGCTGCTGTAGCCATTCATGCTTTCACTGTGTGCGTCGTTGTGTGTCTGCGACCCGGGGCCCCGGCTCCTATTGGAACGGGGACGGGCATGCCTACCATTCGTACTGGTAGAAGCGCTTCGTCGCTCGTGGACGTTGGTCGGTGAGACGCTGCGCCGCCTGGAGGACCTGGAACCGGGCCGTGACAGATGCTGTGACTGTTGCTGCGGGCCTTGAACGGCGAGTCCATCTTGGGCGTAGAAAGACTGGGCGCCTGGCTGGCTCGGCTGAGCGGCGTGTGGGCCAGGAGTGGGAGGACCATCGCGGACTCGCACGTACACAACCGAGTTGTGGCGGAAGTTCTCATACCTTCCGATGATGGTGTTCCCATGCTCATCCTCGAAGCTGACGCCGGGACAGCTTGTGGCGCTCGGGTACAGACCATAGAAGTTCTTGACGGTGGTGATGATGGACTCAGTTGTATCGTGGGGGTAGATCTGTACCCTCATGGGTAATCGCGCCCGGTACTGGGTAGAGTCGGTGACCAATTCGAACTTGACCGACCGGGGGACGGCGGGCGTGTGGTACTGGGGCTGTGTGAACTCCATGACCCTGTCCTCACGGCTCATTGAGGCGAGAATGTGGGCTTCAGTGGGGGTAGGAGGAGAATGGTGTTGGATGGGATATGTTGTAGCCAGCGAGCTGACATGTGCCCTTGGGGAGATGTCCGACACGGGAGATTGGGACGACATCAGACTCGGTGGTGCCATTCCTAGCGAAATGACCACCCTTCGAGAATGACTGTTCCAAAAGACGGGAGTTCCTGTCTTTGGTCCCTCCTCTTGGTTTCCTTTGGACGGATGTACGTATGTTCTGTTTTCCTGAGCCTGTGTGGATGAGGTCTTGGTGCCCACAGTGTGTCCAAGGTGCTGGGGCGGTCAACCCGCGGTTCTCGGCGTTGAAGGGGGGGAGGCGACCGGGTCGGGAAGATGGGAGCAGGATGGGAGTGTCGTGGGTCGTCGAATCTGGAAAATCAGGGAGCAATTAGCTCTGGATAGCGAATGCGAGCAACACAATGCAATAGATGTCAGGCGGTGCCCTCTGTGGCGGGCGAAGGCAGCTCCCGGATTGCTCAGGAGCGGTCGCTGGGAGCCAGAGGGGCGACCGAGCTGGCAGTCAAGAGTCTTGGGCGCGGAGGGCAGGGAAAGGAACAAATAATTGTCGGAATCCTCGATCGCATGGACCAAGAGAGCGGATTTCACTTACCAGTCGAGGATGGGGAGGTTGTTGCTGGGCCTGAAAGACCTTTGAAACTCGGGACTCGTCTGTTCCCTCTGGGGCGGAGGCGGCAGTCTGCGACGAGATGGCATCAGACCCGTTCGATCTTGGGATGGGGAGAAATGAGCAAGTAGGGAACGGCCGAGGATGCTCCCAATGCCTCGAGTGATGGGTGGGAATGGCTTACCAGGTGATTCTGGCGTTGTTTGATGGGTGTGGGTGAAGAGTCCGGAGGGTTAGGAGGGAAAGAGGAGAAGTTCGCAGCGAAGAGGATGGATGGGTTTGTCGAGACGGCCTCATAGGCGAATAGCGCAGGAGCCCGCTTGCCCGCTGCGGGTCACCTCACAAGCCAGACACTGACACTTCACTCAACATTAACATAACACACGCACGCACACGCACACAAGACAACACAACACAGTACAGCACCACCTTTTTCTTTCTCTGCCTTGCAATCGCAGCCCAGGTGCGACCCGGGCTCTGTCGTCTGCCTGGGTAAATGCTCAGGTCTGTTGCTGCCGCCCAGATTGGCGCATTTCCCGGCGACTACGTCTCTGTGTCTCTTTTCTCTCTCAACTTGTCACGTACAGTACGTACAGCGCTCTGCCGCTAAAACCTGCTCGACGGTCCAGGAAACGAGGTCATCCTACGTCTTGTGCGTCGCAAAGCACCCGGCTCTCCCATCCGTGGGTAGCATACACTCTCGCCGCTTCTTTTATGCGCTTCCCATGTCACGTCTCGATTCGAGGCCCAGGTAGATAGATAGGCATAGGCTGCTCGCCCAGGGCAAGTCAGAGGGTTGTTCACCCCGAATCTCGAGTGAAACATACGAGCGCAAACCTTCTTCCCCTCGTCCCGGCAGCCGTCTACTGTATGTGCGGTAGACTAGACTACGGCTTCCTCCTCGGTCTGCCTGCGGACCACACCTGCGCCGTGAATCGCTGTGCGCCCGACACGCCAAGCTGCAATGGCAGACTATGTTTGATCTTGTCGCAGCGGCACAATGTTCACATCCAAGTAAGCGTTCCAGCGCATTTCCTACCGAGGAATAGGCAAACGGGCCAGGGACAGGCCCGACCCTGCCCGGCAGTACCTACGACTAGGTACGGGCCCTTTCAGTTGCGCCCATCATCAACCACTCGAGATTGGGTGGAGTTGTGGCAACCTTGACCAAGGCATTCCAGGTCGCGCAAATTGGGGTCTGTCTCGCTCGATCCTGAATTCAACCCCGGCCGATCGGCAGGCCGCCTCTCCTTGCGAGCGACAGGACTGGAGGCAGTGAGCCGGTGGGAAACCAACCCACACATCTACCTGTAACCTGCCGGGAGGGCAGAGAGGTGCGGACACAGGCGTAGCGTAGGCACACCTGCCACTGTTTTCAAGATGATGGGAAATAAACGATCACCTGCGCATCTTGACTGGCAGGAGACCTCACGAACACCATCCATCCATGCAAGCTGCGGGCTGGAACGGCTTGGGCGCCTCGTTCTCAGACCCCCCCTTTCCCGAGGGTCTAGATCGAGTATTACTTCAAGGAGTACCTGACTTTGGAAGGTTTGAGGGCCCTTGGACATGCACATCATCTCCGACTCGAGACCCCGTCGAGCCACCGCTTCCAAGGCTTGTGATTGCGAGTTATCGTTGGGAATAGCAAGGTGATCCAGGAAGACAGTGAGTGGGAGAGTGAGTACGTCAGTACAGTAGTGAGTAACGGCTCTGGCCTTGTCCACAGGGTATCGCAGACGTCTTTGCCAAACCGCACACACAGCGTGCTTTCTTGATGTCCACGTTCACACCGGTGCCACGCACGCTTGGCCGTCCGCCGTGCCGCTCGTTCCTCGACACTCAGTCCACTGTGCGGCCCAAACCAAAGCCTGGGCCCGATTCCATCGAGCTGAGAAGAAGGATGGGGATGGGCTGGCGGCGAAACTCCCCACAGCCGGGATGTCGCTGTTGCGTTGGTGCGCAAGCTTAATAACTTGTCAAACCTTGCCGGCTTGGGTGACGGACAGGTGGTCAAGGGGGGTCGCACTCAATCCACCCCAGGCCCGGGGGACGAGCCAGGCCCATCGCTGGCTTGCTCCCATACAGTAGACTAGCAGGAGAGGGAGAAAGCGCCTTCCACTATCGCGATCCCGTTGTTGTGCCATACACAGTAACAATGCCAGTGGCCAGGCCAGGCAGGTTCTCAACACTAGGCGAGCATGATGCAATGCGCAAGGCGGGCGCGCGAACGAACGCTGGCATCTGTTCGTTGCCCGATTGCGAGGCGGAGTGGATCGCGAACCCCACTCATCCAATTGGCGCTTGCGGACCACCAGAGACCGGTCGCCTGCTAGTCGGTTGTGAGACAGGGGCTCTTTTGGCTGATCGGATGCACCTAAAAACAAACCAGGTGGAAAGCCCCTATCGGGGCCCTGGGAGCTATTCGTCTGGGCAGGCTGCGGAGGGGAGGTCACGTGACGTTGCTTAATAATGGCGCCTTTCCGTATTCGGAAAGGGACGCAAGTGCGTCACGTGGTCCAGCCGGCAGTTTCGATGATTAAAATATACTACATGGGCGCGAGGAGCCCCTCCACCAGAGTGCTGGTTCCTTCCATGCCCGAAACAACGTACCCTAAGGTACCCTGAGATTCTCCAAAGGCAGACCTACTCTTTTTGAGTGCTGGCGTCCTTGGAGGAAGTTTGGGATTGTTTTTCTTGGCATGGGGCACTCCTTTTCGCGGTGGAAGGCCTCGGTCTTCGGACTTCGCGCCGCGAAGGCTGCGGGTGCGTCTCCCGCCTGGGTCGAATTTCTGGGCTCTTTTTCGGGTTTTTCTTTGGCCCGGGATGCCTCTGGGAGACGGCGGGACGAGCCCGGCGATCCTCGCGAAGAGGGCTTTGTCGTGACGGAGCCCGAATTGGGCGTAGGGAGGGGCCCGGCGGTCCTCGAGAGGAGGGCTTTCTGGTGACGGAGCCGGAATTGGGCGTGGGGACAGGCACGGCGGTCCTCTCGAGCAGGGCTTTCTCGTGACGGAGTCTGATTCGGGCGCGGGGACGGGCATGGTGATCCTCGCGAGGAGGGCTTTCTCGTGATGGACCCCGAATCGGGCGTGGGGACGAGCCCGGCGGTCCTCGCGAGAAGGGCTTCTTCGTGGTGGACTCCGTGGTGGACCCCGAATCGGGCGTGGGGACGAGCCCGGCGGTCCTCGCGGGCAGCACTCTCCGTTGACGCAGCTGGAAATGAGCGTGAGGATGTCCACGGTAATGCTGCCGAGCAAGACTTTCTCGTAAGGGAGCCAGACACGGGGCTTCCGAGCGTGACGAGCCAAGCACTTGTCTGATAAACAAACATTGGGGCACGTAGTGTGTGTTGACTGACGCCTGCAGCCGAGGGCCTAGGGGCTCTATCTAGTGCATGCACTGGTACCCACTGGGCCGGCTAGATTCTGCGCAGATGGGAGTATTGGAGGCGTGGGTATGGCTTTGGGGCACGTAGTGAGCTTCGCTGTTTTCTTTCCTTAAGAGCTTGGTATCCTTGTAACCTACTGAAACTGTCCCTAGGGTAAGTTAATGCCGTGATCGTTTCAACTGCGACCAAAGTTAGTGAATAGATTCCGTAGCTGTCGTGGTAATGGCAGATGTGATCAACAGATCTGGTGGAAAGGTAGCTGGGTTCCAAAAGCCCCTGCGCCTCGCGAGGCGCACACTCAAATATGCAGTGCGCCTCGCGAGGCGCAGAGACTCCTGGAAACCAGCTACCCTTGACGGTCACATCAATTCCAAGGACGGCAATGCAGCTCTGGTCAGAGTTACCCTAGACTTTTCGTCATTTTGGCCCAAGTCAAATTGATTGACTGCACATCGCACTTCAAGTCACGCAGCACACGCAGTATGCACTGCAGCTAGACTTACCCTAGAGATTTCGTCATTTTGGCCAAAGTCGAATTGATTGACTGCACTCCAAGCCATGCCAACCGGCTGCTGCACCGAATCAGCCTCCCTCTGCGCAGCCGTCCCCGGTGTTGCCACCAACCGGTACCCCGGACATACCTTCTGCACAACCTGTGCCGGTTCCGAGCGGTGCTCCGCAGCGTGCGTCTCGCCCCATGTCTGCCAGGCACCAGGTCAACTACGAATGGGGTTTGCGGAACCGTGATGCTCGTGGGTATGCACATGGCTCTTGTTTCCGTCAATATTAGACATGAACAACGGGTGATCATGGCCCTCGGACTCCATGATCGTCTGATCATTGTGGCTTCTGTGGTTCTCAAGCCGTAGGTACATCTTCAAGTCTTATACCAAGTCGCATATACACCCCTTGACAACGCCCCGAAATACGCAGCAAAACACGTCGGTACTGATGGTCCACGTAAACCTCACCATGCCGTGCCATTCCAGCATCCCTCACCATCGCGCAACCGCATCCCTTCACGACACCCCACGCTGCTCGAGAACAAGAGGTGACGTCCATGGCAAGAGGGGAAAACATGTCGACTGTACCGGAGGTTGAACCCTTAATATTGCGCCATTTAGCAATTGGTTGCTCAAGTCTTGGCTACAAGGTGCCCAACAACACTGTGTTGATAGTTAGTATGTTGGACTGCGCTTATTTGAATTGGAAATGCTCGTTTTGACCAAAAGTCTAGGGTAACTCAAGACTTATCATAAATTCCGGTGGTTGCAACTATAATGGCAGACTCCCCACCAAAATTAGGTGGGGAGTCTGCGGTATCAGTTGTACTTCTTTTTGGTGGAATGGTCACTGCCTGCGAATGATTGGATGCGGTGGCCTCCTGCGTTTTTGAGTACAGGGTCAGTCATGGTGTCTTACGGAGGATAGGTTGAGGTAGCAAAGCCTCCTGAAGGGTTGGGGTGATGGCAATGATGATGAGGAGTGATGGGTTTGCCGGGATGATTTATGGGTGGAGTTACCTGTGCTCTGTGGTCCCCATTGTCGTCCGTATTGTCGTCTCCGTCATCATCCTTGTTTTCGTCGTCGTTCTTATCCTCCTCCTCCTCTTCCTCCTCTTCAAGTCCTTGGGTATTTTATTACTGGCCTTTGTGTTGTTGAGGCGGCGGGCCTCGGAAGCCGATACCGCCACTGCCCAGGTGGCAATCATCCGCCGCGATCTGGTGGCTGTCGTGGTCTGGCTCTCGTCTTCGTTCTGGATCTCGTCTTCGCTGTCGCCTTTGTCCTTGCTTCGATTCTCTTGTTCGTGTCTTTTCTCGTCTTTGTGGCCGTCCTCATCTATATGTGACTTGTAGAAGGGGTGGCTGTGGTTGTATTCGTCGTGGTGGTTTCGCCTCGGCGTCGGAAATGCTCCAGGCAGAGACGCCATAGAGTTGGCCCGCCTTCGTGGATCTTAGACGTACTGAATACTGTCAGCGTTGTTGCCCGAGGTAATGCCTGCGTTCTTTCCGAACTCCCCCAAAGAGTTCGGCCACCTAACCGTGTTCAGGTAGTGACGTTGTTTAGTGACAGCTCAGCTTGCTCAAGCGGCATGGCGCCGAAAGAGGCAGTAGTGAGTGTTATGCGTCTTGACTGGGTCGTGATAAGCCATAGGCAGTAGAATATAGGGACGGGTCACCACCCGGCCGTATATCACGAACAACAGGTGCTAACATTGCCTGCGGAGACTTCAAAACAAGCAAACAAAGCAACCAACCCCGCCCAATTTCCGTCGACTTATTTATCATCTCGTTTTCTCGCGACGAGGGACAGGTTTCTTCTTCTAACTTCAACTTTGTTCATCCCAAGTCAACTCCATTTTCCCACACAGCATTACTACACACAATACAATGTCGTCCCTTCCCGACTTACACAATATTACGTGGGAGCAGTTTGTGCCCTTGCCGCAATCTGCTTGCAATGGTAACTTTAAGGACTGGAGACAACATGGGTTTCACTGCGTGGTGAACACCATGCTCAACGCATGGCGGGCTGCCGCCTCCTGCCGGTTGTCATGTATCGCCGCCTTGCAGCACCCTGACCTCAGCCACGAGGAACGTATGTGCGTCTCGCAATCCATCGACGTTAGTACAGATGCATGCGAAGATATTGGTTCTGCGGTGTACGCCATGCTTGGCTACTGGCCGTTTACATTTGAGACGGCAGAGCCACTTGGATTCCCGGAAGAATCGACGGAGCAGCAATACGAAATGCGGATTGAGCAGATTCAGCCTGCGCTTTGTCCTCCATTGGCTCAGGATACATCCACGCAATACGATCCGCTCGACGAGGGTCTACCGACAACAACAACAACATCACCACCGCTTCCCCACCACGAGAATTCGACACCCGACGATCTCTCACTTCGACTCGAAGCAGTCTATGTCGCTCCACGGCGGCGTGACCTCCCGCGGACGAAGAGTCCGAAGATTCTGCAGATTCAGGGGCCGCCTCCGAGGCGGACTCGGCGGCGGACTCGGCGGCGGACTCGGCGGGAGAAGCAGACGAAGATGCCGAAGATTTTACCGACTCCCCCGCCGACTCCCACTGAGGAGGATCTCATACATACTGATTGGGAGAGCTCCGTTTTGGGATTGCCGAGGCTGCGGCCGAAAGCTCCTGGACAAGCAGACAAGGCCTAGAGGAGATACGTGTGGTTCGAGGTGGGCGTTCTAAGGAGATGAAAGGGTTCTAGGATCGTGTGTTCAGTACTTATTATTGATTAGAGCATATGGCTTTTAGTAGTCATGGAAGGAGAAAACCAGACATCACATGGAAACCTACTCTTCTCACGTTGGTTAATACAATAGTGTGCAGTTATCCAATTCTTCGGCTTTGATTTAATGATGTCTACAGTCGTTTGATCACCATGATTGCCAGGAAGGAACTTCAATCTCGCGTCAGAAATACCGTTTTGAATTAGTGAAATGCTTTGCTGGGGGCTGTACTGCGGGGTGCTGTGGAGTGTTGACACATGGTGCCTTTGCCCTGAACTAACTGGTGGAGTGATCTTGGGCGAAGGCCGGCATCTTGCACCTGATGCCCTCGCCGTTGACCGTACAGTTTGCACAGGCAGTGCCGGGCAAGGATTTCATGACAGAACCGTCAGGCAGACGTCTGTTTGTATAACAACCAACCCAGTTCCCATGTCCATTCATGCACCTCCTACAAGCGCTCGGCTGGGAGGGGTTGCCAACCATCTGTGTAAGCAAGGCAGCGAGGTTTTCGACCCGTCGGGAAGATCTGTTGCCTATCTGCCATCCCTTTGCACGTTTATTCCTCCGGTGGTTCAGTACAAGTCTGTGGGCGACAGGTAGATCAAGCTACGTATATAGTTAATAAGTGTATATGGAGAACGTAGGCAAAGGACAGGCGTACTAGCCGTGTGATTCTGGGGTTTATGGGACGTCTTTTGCCCGGGTACCTTTTTCGCAGTATCGGATATGCTATACGGGCGGCTTCCCACGCAGAGCCAGGGACAACGGGCGAGCAAGACGCCATAGATAACTCAAATATTGTTTTTCGCCGGGTGACACGACTATTCGGTTCTTCAGTCTGCTTGATGATTATGGCGTAGTTGGCGATGAAGACCTTGGTGGAGACGTCTTCGGAGCCGGACTCGTAGTCGGACTCGCCGCCAACGGCGACTGGCGAGGTCAGCTTGGCGAACGTGTCCAAGCCGTCAAAGGCCAGGACGGCCTTGCTGCCCTTCTCGACTGCTGGGGCTGTGAAGGAAGTCCTGTAGACCCACTGCTTCTCTCCTATGTGGGTGTTGAACCTCCAAGAGGTCGACCGTTCGATGTTGAGGAATATCTGCACACGTTCTTGGGAGGAGCGGTTGGGCAGTGGGGGCTTGTGGTGTTGGTTTTGAAATGGTATGCGATCAATCAGTTTCGTGAATCTTTCTCGGCCAACGATGAAATGGAGACATGCTTGGCAAGGGATTTCCCTCACATGACCCAATCCATCACCAACACCTTACACTACGTCCACCACAACCACGCTCCGGACCCAGCGATAAGGTACAAGCTGTATATCAGTAGAAAGAGCCCGGCTCAGGCTACAATATCATGAGCATTGACCTTCTGTTACTGCATAGTGCACGCAACGCGGAGATCCCGGGGCGAGGTGGCTGGTAGGGGGCTGGAATCATGCCGGGAAAATGTGACACAGCATAATGCGCCACAGGGCATGGCCTCTGTGCTGAGATAAGTATGGCTAGTTCTTTCACTGGGCCCGAATAGCATTCAAACGGTGATCGGAGGACGAGGGTGAACCACAGACTTGATGGTCATTTCGGATCGCAGACTCCCCACCAGATTTTGGTGGGGAGTCTGCGGTCTGGATTAATGTCTATGCAGCACGTTCGGCCTTGCAATTATAGGATCACTTCGGAAAACATGTTGCTGTGGGAGAACATGTTGCCGTGATTGAACAGCTTGAAAAATTATGAACTCATTTGCTGGTTTAGGAGTCTCATGATTACATGTGGAGCAAACCCAAGAGACGAAGGGAGGCATGGGAAGAAGGGCGCCGGGTACTGATTCAGCTTCTAGAAGGACACGACGGAAACTGAGAACATCCGGATATGGTCTGGGGCGTAGATGACGGACACTCAGACCGAGACCTTGAAGTCCACATCAGCATCGTATAAAATCTCGTGAAGGTGGGAAAGATTTTACCGACTATTCTTCTCTCTACCATTCACTCCAGGAAACTGTGCCAAGCGGAAAGAGAAACAACAAGCACGTTCGGGGAAAGACAGTGGTTATCAACCCTTCCTTGGCAGGTGCAGGCTAGCATCTACAACATCAACAATCAACTTCCACGTAAGGGTTGAGAAGGGCATAAAGCACGTTCCTCGTCACGTAAACTTTCTCGTCACTCTCGATAGACACGGAAGGAGGGAGACCTCGTCACAGGTCGTTTGACAACCCGCCAACCTTCAAGAACCTCTTCGCTTCGCTCCAGTTCTGCGAGACCTTTCCCTCCAACACACTCCACACATCACGACTTGTTTCCATACGTGCTATCCCAGGAGACTCAAGAGACCAGAGTAAACGGTTCAAGGTAAGTAATGCTCACACAAGTAACCATGTTCCTCCAAATACATCCATATGGGTTCCTTCCACCAGTCCCGTTTCACTTCACCTGGAAGGAAGCCTTCTTCATACATTACCTTCCCGCCACATACACAAAGGGAGCAGCGCAGCCGAGTCTTTCAACAAACCCTCTACAGACATAGTTCTATTAGATGCTGACCAACTTACCACAAGCACATCCAACGGGTCATCCCAAAAAGTTCGTAGAGGAAGACACCGGCTTCCTGATTACCCACACGGCAAACCCTAGGGGTACAGGACTTTTAACCTTCATTCATAGTCTTCAACTTCTTCACACGCCTTCCCTACTCTTTATTACCGTAAAGCACGTTTTACCTTCCATCCTACTTACATCCACCCATCCATACTCTTGATCATCACCGCCAACCTTCCCATTGCTCTATTTACGCACCCTACATCGCTCACCTACACTTGGGAGCCCATCACATAGCTACACTCAAGATGTCGGACAACCGTGACAACCGTGACAACCGCGGCAGTGGCGACAAGGGCGATAAGCCCCGTCGCTCTGGTCGAATCGAACAGGCGCAGCGTCAGGGCGCGCCTAACTACAACCTCAATCGTGCCTACAATCAACAGAGTGGCCAAGCTTCCCAAGGCGGTCAGGGTCAGGGCAACAACCCACAGCAGCGTGGCCAGCCTTCGGGAAGTGGCCAAGCTCAAGGCAATAACCCACAGAGGGGTGGCTTCGACGGTGACAACCGTCCTGGCTCTAACAGCAGCAGTCGTCCCGCATCCAATGCCGGCAGTCGCCCAGGTTCTGAGTCCGGTAGTCGCCGGGGCTCTGACGCTGGCAGTCGGCACGGCTTTGATGATGGCAGCCGCCCTGGCTCTGACAATGGCAGCCGCAGGAACTCTCCTAGACCTGGACCAGCCAGACTTGTCTCACAGGAACCCGGAGATCAACGTACGTCACCTCCCTCCCAACATTGCAGCTGCATAATTGCCGACACATACTGACTATTCGAAGCTCTCTCCAATGTGTACCAGCGAAGAGGCGGAAGCCATCAGCGATCCATCTCGTCTGGGTCCTCTGGATCCGGTGGCTTTGAGGTTCTCAACCAGGCACCACCTGTTTTTCCGCGTGACCAGCCTCCTTCCGGTAACATACAGGGAGCCAGACCCTCTGGATCTAGCCAGCAAGCTGTAGGACGTGCTTCTGGAGGACCGCGTGCTCCGACAATGGTGGCTCGTGGAGGTCCAGGTCGATCGGTGGGCGGCTACCTATCCCGTACGCCAGAGCGTGACGTGCGACGCAGAGAGTCGACTCCGCTGAGTGATTCTGACCAGTACTGTGAGGTAGACAGTGACCTTGGTAAGTTCACATCTAATATTATAATGAATATATCAATTGATGCTAATGATTATAGAAATCACTGGGTCCCAAGAGACTGTGCGTCCTCGTCAACCCCAGGTGCCTCCGCAGGCCATCCCTTATAAGGGTTACCCGTCTCGCGGCGGTCGCAGTAGCAGCAGCGCGAGTGGAAGCGGCCGTGGCCAGTCTCAGCCACTTCGTGGCAGCCAGCGCAGCACAGCACAGGTTGAGATGCAGAAGCTTGCCGCCTCGGGTGCTCGCCTTAGGCACCAGACTGCGGTGCACAACATGACGATGCACATTCTTCGAACTGAGCAGCAAGAGATCTTCCAGAACGCTACTTTGGAGGAGCTCCAGAATGGCCCCCAGTATGGACAAGTTCGTGCACGCGTGATGCGAGGAATTGCAGAGGGAACGATTGACCAGGCGACCCTCGCCCGCTTTGGTGGCGATCCCCCTGCTGGTGGTGGTGGTACGTTGGGCAAGGGAAACAACCGACGTGGAGGAGGTGCTGGAGGAGGTGCCGGCGGACTTGCGGGCGTTTAAGCCCTCACACGAGCTTCACTGTCTCACACGGCAAACAGCATGATATGCCGGAATCGGATGTCTATGAGGTTTTCAACTTTTGCGATGATTTCTAACGACACGGCAACAGTATGGATGTCTATGGAGTGCTTATTCGAGCACAATTGGGGTTTCAGGCCACAGTCTTTGCGTTGATTTCTTTCAGATATGGAAGATAGGAACAGGCGTCTCCAACATAGAGATGAGAGCAGTGCTAGATGCAACGATGGGCATCATTGGACGAATCAAGATAGTTGTTACCATGGCATTTTGGCGCCGGGAAAGGGAAGCCTGAGGCCGGGAAACGGCATATGGCTGTGGAAACATGGCAGCATAACACACGATGGTCTGGGGGACTCGTTGACTTTGCTTTATTTGCTTGTGGGCGATGGATTACACTCTCGATAATGCGATGGTTTCACAATGATGGGGGCTCTTTGCTCTGTGAATCTGTGTGGCTCCTGTGGTATTACCTGAAGGAAGACCCAACGAACTTCCTCCTGCCATATCCATCTGCAAGGTTATGCCCAAAAAAGAATTATGCAACACCCATATCCGATTCTCCCTAGGCAGTGGCCATTCTACTAATCAGGAGTGCATCTAAGAACACAGACTCCCCACCAAAATCTGGTGGGGAGTCTGCGATCTCAGTTCAACTTACCTGTCTGTGTGAAAACATTAACTCAGCCAGCCTAGGTCAACAGCCCCTAATTGCAAGTAATATGAGGAACACAGGGTACAGTGTTGCTAGAAATGAATGGACTGCGGGACAATTTATTTGCAGTTGTGAGTAGTAGATACCTATAGACTTCAAGGAAACGCAGACTAACACTGTAATTTTTTAAAAAGATTTTAGAAGGAATGAAATAGCCAAACAAAGAGACTCAACAGACAAATAACGAACTGAACAGACAATACTTTGAATGATCAACCACGTCGACAAATAAAACCGGCGAGGCAGGTGACGACGACCCACGATTCTCAGTTCCTCCTCCCTTTCTTCCGTCCACCCTGGGTGGAGTTAGCCCCTACTGCGTCGCCAAGTCTCTCGTCATCTGCGACAGCCTTCCCTTTACCCTTGTCCTTCGCAGTGCTCGGAGCAGCATGGTCCTCTGACGCCGCCGGCGCCACACCTGTGGATTCCGCAGGTGGACCTGTTCCTGCACCATCAAAGCCAGCACCTGTGACTTGAGGAACTTCGTCCGTAGATCCGGTACCCGGGTTGACTGCCGCTAGAGCTGTGCCTGAGGAACCACCTTCGTTGCCGCCGACCGTGTCCTGCGTGCTGGGACCTGAAGACGACTGCGTGTTTCTCTTAGAAGGTGCACCGGCCTGAAGTCGTTTCTTCATTTGTGCCTTGATCTTGGCGTTCTTGTTGTCTGCCGGGGTAGGAGATGCTGGGAGGCCATTCGAAGATGAAGGTTGACCGTTCTTGGTTGGTGTCTGGGGCATCTTTGGCTTCGAAGGGGAGAGGTTCGCAGAACCAAACATACCAGTACTTCCTCCCTGCCCATCCAGCTGAAAAATCTCACGTGGGATAATAACCGGGATCTGGATGTGAACCGCACATTCCTGTAGGAAGTTTGTGTTCAGCATGCCGACAAAATACCCGTTGAAGCAGTATCTCTTCCCATCGCGTTGGAGATAACCTCCTAGCCCTAGTGAACTGCTGAATTTCTTTCGAAGCTGCGTTGCTGACTTGGGAATGATGATGAGAATATGGAATGCATAATTGCCTGTCCCCGGGCAGGTCAAAGACACAGACTGGTCCTTCTCATACTCGGGTAGCATGTTGAAGTATGTGGTCATTCGCATGAAACCCATGGCGTTTTTGATCTCCCATGCAGTCATCCACCAAGGCAGGTCTTCCGCTGGCTTCCATGTAAACGCCATTGGATCGGCTACCGCTATTCCATTAGCCGAGACAACGCTGCTTGGGAAGTTCAACCCGGACGGGATTTTAAGGCCAGCCCTGGGAAAAGGTTAGCAGGTGACTCTAGAATGGGCCAAGAATTACTTACTTCTGGAATGTATCCTCATATATAAATCCATACTGAGATATAGTCGACTGTCTGTGCTGTGTCATTGTCTCACTACCATTGATAACATTCATCTCAGATCGGACTAAATTTGGGTAGAAGCTGAGGATACAAGACCAAGCATGCTGTTCCAAGACATCATCTGGGGGCGGGTCCCGTGAGTAATGGGGGCACCACACTGAGATATATGACGATTCTCCCTCGGTCACAAGAATGTCAGATTCGTTGGTCATGTAGGGTTGGGTCCGGATAGGGATACGGAGCTTGATCTCCTTCGAATTCTTGAACATGCGGTGTGGTCGCCTCCAGGTGTTTTCATATCGCCGGCTTTTTGACAGCACATGTAGTTGGAGACCTCCGAAAGACTCGCCAGACTTCATGTGATCGTCTCCTAAGATGGGTATGGTCTTTGCTTCGGATTCCGGCCATACAATCGTTCCCCTAGGGTTGGTGTATTTAGGACCATCGGCTGGGTCGTCGTTGTCTGACCAGTCCACGTCGGAAGGAACATCAGAGTCTTCCTCGAAGTCCTCGAACTCAGCGTTCATCTCAACGTCTGACATGATGGGTATAAGGATGTATTGAAGTAAAGAGGGAGGAGACTATAAATGATATGGGCTCATGTGTGGTCTAGGAAGATGATGTCTTGTTCCAACTATCAAGATGTGAGTCAAGACGAGGGTATTTATATTTGAGACATCCTAGGTTAACAGTACTGGCTTCGCACGACCTGGTCCTTCTCACGGCTGAAATTTCCGTATTAGGCCGCGAATTTGGCCCACTCAAGGCGAGCATTGCTAAACCAGTCAGCCATCAGCGAGGATATCACAGCATCGTGCCTGATGATTCAGTTTGGGCGCAACTGGCCGCGGAACACGCGGTTACGAATCTCCATGCAACGTGTCTTTCTGACAGCCCTCGCAGAACCAAGAATGTCTATCATGTTGATTTCAGAGGCCAAGATGCTGAGAACAGTAACAGATCATCCTCAACGCCGTCGTCGGAGATGTGATGGTCGTCGAAAGCTTCCGTGTCATGCGGGTTCTGCTCGTGGTGTCGTTCGATATCTAGACGTTGTCTCGCCGAATTCCATGTTTTAGTAATGCATGCATATAGTCGAGTTATTTGCTCTTGATTGTAACGTTGTTGCATGCCTAATCCGTATAGATCACCTCAGATCTGCGACCGTTTTAGGAACCGGTAAATGTGTCAGGCGCTTCTGAATTCCATGCAATGAAACTTCTGCCAGCAATGCTACGCATTGCAGAGTAGTAGCGGACCCACTGCACGAGTTCTAGGCGGCTGCGGATGTTGTGGGCGGCTTTTCCGATTCTCCATCTGCAAGTTATCTCCACCTACTCTACCTAGTTTCGGCGATTATGCATCATCTGACAGACAAGGTCAATATTGGTGGTTGTTTGAATACTCAAGTGGGATGATATATGATTAACATGGCAAATGATATGTAGATACTGACAGTAGAGAGCTTTACAGGGTCTCTGGCATACCCAGGTTTGATTTAATTCTCAGATTCCTTGAGATCTAGCTGTTTTGTTAAAGTGTTTACGTTGTTGTATAATCGTGACAGAACGCAATAAGAAGCACGAGTCAAGAACAAAATTACATACTATCCATACCAAATCCTATAAGAAAAGATGTCTCAGGCACAGGTATCACGAATCTTCAACCCGCCCAGACAGCGTGATGGGCAGCAATATGGGCTCCGGGTGCTTGCGAGTGCCGGACCCGCGCCGGCTCCCCTAGACCGCGCCGAGGTACTCAGAGACCTTCCTCCTCGGTCGGTGAGAAAGCGCAAAGCCAAGTCGACAACAGCTGCCGTAGACGGGGCCGAAGCAGACCAAAATTCGGGCGCTCACCGGCCCAAAAAACGACGGGTGGCAACCAGGAATACTGATCGCGCGAGTCCACACGCCTCCTCAACACAGAGGAATGACAATGCCCCAGCCCCCAGACACCTTCAGGAGGCTTGTTTGGCACGCTCAGTTCAAATGATTACTGAGGAATTCGAGGACAAGAAGCGGTTATCTGAGCAGGATGCTGGATTCACAATGGCAGACCCTGATCTTCAAGTCCGGATCGCAAAAGAGTGCTATGGAAAACTTCATGACACAGATCCAGATACTGGTGAAAAGCTTCCGAGGGGTATGCTACCAGAAAGAGCGTGCGTATGGTGTCAAATCGTGTGTCCCGGCACGGACTTTGTGGAGGAACCTTGGGAGTGGCAGCAATATTTCGACAATCTTATACCCGGTGACCAGGAAGCAATTTCACATATCACAAGGTGTGACTTGTGTTTCCCCAAGAGTGCACCTGCAGGAGGAGACAGCCAGTCTTGGAAGATACGACCAACCTGTAAGGAATGTCACCAAAGCATGGCGACCACTGTCCCTGCAGGGGCGGCACAGCTAAGGAAGGGACAATTGTCTAATTATGCCTCGCATGGGCAATATCTCCTACGGTGTGCGCACCAATATCCAAAGGAACTATGCGACCTTTCCCCGATCGAGGAGAAGATCATCGGGATCAATATGGCTTATGGTTTCATCACAAAGCTTCGCATGGACTTGCAATGGATTGGTCCAAAATACCGAAAACACATTAAAGGTCATATATGTGTGTTTCCAAGTCCGATATCTGATCTGTGCACAAATGTGCTGCCAAGGGCTCTTGGGTCCACGCTCGAGAACGTCCTGGTGATATGGAGTGGGAAGATGCAGCCCAAGGCGAAGGACCTTTCCTCCTTTCTCAGCATCCGTCCGGCCTATGTCGCGAGAGCACTAATGTGGTTAAGGCGGAACAACCCTTTATATGCGAATATACAAATCGATGACGACGAGCTGACTTTGTGGACCGAGGACTACATTGCTGAATGCCTAAGAGGATGTGTTCAACACTTTGAACCTACGGCTGAAGAGGAGGCCCACACGGCGAATTATGTCCCATCCGAGGAACTTGGAGTAGAGACAGGGTCGGGCCAAGGAAACAGTACGAGTACCAACGAGAGGGTGGACCTGTCGGCAAATGATCCCGACGAAAATACGTTCCCAAGCGAGCGTGGTCTCGGGTTTACCGAGACGGGAGATGCGCAGGGGGATTTGGAAGATGCAGAAATACCAGAAGGTTAGATGTCCCAATCACTATATCATTATATTGCTATAACTCATACCGCAGACTCCCCACCACATTTTGGTGGGGAGTCTGCGGTACAGGTTCCCTGGCATTATATGTCAGCACACGCAAGCATATCTGTATAATACATCAGCCTGACCTGTGTACAGACTTGATTGATAACTCAGCCACCACAACGACAAGACGGACTTCATCTGGTGTCTTTCCCATAGACAACCCAATAAGCCCAACGGATTTAGAGCAGCTCCATCCAGCTTTCATGGCGATGGGCGTACGCGGACAGGAGCTGCAAGACTTCCAGTCCCGAGACATAACACCTGATACCGTCCCGAGCAGAGCTCCGTCAGAAGAACCAATGGGTGATCCTGTGATGGACATGAAGGAGACACCTTATATGGAACCGTTTATCCATGTGAAACGCGGGGACAACTTTGCTGCATCAGAAGACCCAGCCTATTGGGCAAAGACCTTTCCATGTCTATTCCCATGGGGAACCGGGGGTGTACGGCAATGTGTTCTCGACGAGAACGGTAACAACAAAGACGCCGGGCATGGTCGTCCACTTGGACTGAAGCTGTGGGCAAGGCTGCGCCTCCTACGGCATGGTGGGCGTTTTGCAAAGCACCCAGTATTCGCGTTTCTTGTCTACAACATACTCACCCGTGCCGGGAACCGACGTATCAGCATGCAACAGGTGACAAAGGCTTCCTTCGAGGCATTTCAAAATGTCCTCCCACGCCTGACGCCGGCCCGTCTCGAGAGGGCAGCTGCCGAGATGAAGCTGCACGGTGTTACGACGGACAAGGATATTCAGCAATTGCTGGGGCAATTAACGTCGTTTGGCTTCCTTTCAGCATTCTCAACTGAGTCAAGGTTGTTGATGCGTCGTCGCATAAAGGCTGCCGTTGTACGCCACAGTCTTCCAGCAATATGGTTTACAATCAATCCGAACGATCTTACGAATCCTATCAGGATACAACTTAGCATGAAACGTTCCTCACTGCCAGAAGAATTAGAGGATGTTCTCGGTCGCCTGAGCAATGCACGTGAAAGGCTGAAACTCAGTGTTGAGGATCCAGTCAGCGCCGCCATCTTCTTCTACCACGAGATATCAGTCTTCTGTAACCAGTTCCTGCGGATTGGTGAACCATCATCAATCGGTCGGGTTTCCTTCTACTTCGGAGCAGTGGAAACAAACGAAAGAGGCATGCTACACATGCATGGGATGATATGGCTTCAAGGCAACCTTGCCTTCCCTAATATGGCCTCACTGCTTTCATCAACCGACTCAGACACCCAAGACAGGCGAAAGTCACTTGAGGAATCATTACTGAGATGGTGTGATTCGAATTTTGTGGAGACCCTTGATGAGAATACCTCGGAAGATACGGACATATCTCAACCAGATCGTCATACGCTCCACCCTGATGTACTATCGCAAGACACAGACACGGCCTGGTGCAATCTCCTCAAGGATGCCAACCGTTGTGCTAGGACATCTCAGCGACACAGCCACACAGCAACCTGTTACAAGTACCGGAAAATGCAAAAGGAAAAGGATAAGAGATGTCGTTTTGGAGCACCGTGGAGCATTGTTGAGAGGTCGCACATCACAGACGAAGGCGTCATTAAGTTGAAACGCAACCACGACCGCGTTGTACGATACAACACGATCCTTGCAGCAGCATTCAGGCACAACCACGACTTCACCTTCATGCATACAAAGACCCGGGGTCTCTCAGCTATGTACTACATGACGGAATATTCAACAAAGCTTGATGCGCCAACGTACAAGCGTCTTGCATACGCGGCAAGAGTTCAAGCAATGGGCCCTGAAGAATCTGCCGACGATGATGGAGATGATTCACCTAGGACCACAGCCGTTCGAAACACAGCCCGGCAATTCCTTATGAGAGTTGCGAACCGTCTCTCAACCGAGCGCGAATTGTCGTCCGTCGAGGTTGTCGCTGATATCTTGAACTACGACTTCTTTATAACGCCGCTATCTGAAAGAGACAATCCGTGGCCGTCCTTGAATATGAACATGCTATACAACGCTGTCTGTAATACTTGGCCAGCTGCGCAAGAAAGGGTTGCAGGACTGAACCCAGCCATGAAGTTTGATGACTCTGTGATGCTAACAAACAAAGGACAACGTTTGTTACATATCCAGGCATACCCTCATCGTGGCCCAGTCTTCGATCATCTTTGCTTATACGATTACATGCTCTTTGTCAAACTCAAACGGCCTATGAGTGTTGACATGAGGAGGCCGTGGTTTGTCCCATTTCCGGAGGGATCTCCCATACCACTTGGATGGGTTCAGCAAATCCGAAAGAAAGAACTTGCTGTTCCTGTCCCAACAGGTTATGTCGACTCAGATTTTGCATCACAGGACGATGAAAAGCCATTC